GCGCGGGCGGCCTCTAGCGGCGAGGGGTGCCGCGCCGCGCCGCGCCGCGCCTCTACTACCCGACCCGGGAGTTTAGGCGCTCCAGCTGTTTGTCCGGGCTAGGCAGGCAGGTGGACTGACGCAGCAAACCCCCAAGACTCGAGCAAGACAGCGCCATATATCTAGCGCTCACCGTGGGTCAAAGTTACGCAGTCTTACTGAATCTTACGTCTTAAACCGATGAGGAGCGTGAACCTCATAAAGTTTTAACAGAACTATCCATGGACCCAATGCAGAAGGTAGCATCCCCGCGCTTCCCATGCTATTCATTAAACTTAATATTATTAATCTAGGCGATCCTCATCAAACCCTGCATTCAACGATGGGTCCCGAAATCCTCATATCCTGGTTTTCACCTCCTCGGTAAGACCCTATTACGATTGTGAAGTAGTGAATTTTACTGCAGTAAGAAATACACTGTTTGCTTTATTAACGGTTTTAAAAAATGATATACAGGCCAGGTGAGGTGGCACGCCGCTGTAATCCCATCACTTAGGGAGGCTGAGGCAGGAGGATCGCCCAAAAAAAGGATTCAATTTGCTTTCTTCAGATGGAAAAAAATACAAAAGGGAAGGAAATGTGAAAAAGGAATGGGCAGGGGAGAAAAGAGGAAGAGAAATGGTAACGAAAGAAAAAGAAATAAAAATACATCGCACTCATCAAGGGTAACTTTAGGTGTAGGCCCTACAGGCTATTCTATAAGCAAGCTAACTTTACAAGGCATTGTTAAATATCACGAAGAAATGGGATATGGCAGAAAAGTAGCCACGTAAGTGGGTTTCAGGTGAATAATGATCCTAGCTCCGCCAAAAATTTGGCACCATACAGATCCAACAAACGTGTATCATTTGCCAGCTTGGATATGTTTTATGAAAGGCAATGGTGAAAACCTGCTGTTATGGCTTGTATCTAAATGTCCCCCCGAAGGCCTCACGCACTCATACGTGGGCATTTCTGAGGTGGTTGGATCTAAGGTGTGTGAATATGGGTTATGGACAAAACTGGATTGGTTTAGCATAGTTCTAGGGGTGGATGATGGGAAAGCCCAGCCTGGGTGTGGGTGGCACCAATAGGCTTATAGCCTGAATGAAATACTGTAAAGGGAAAGAGAGAAGGCAGGCTGTCTGCTTGCTGCTTCCTGTCTGCTAAGCCATGGAATGGTTTTCCTCTGGGATAACCCTCTGCCATGCCTTGCTGCCTTGGAGTTAACCTCTACAAACTGTGAGCTGAAACCTCTAGGAACTGTAAGCTAAAACAAACCTTTCCTCCTTTAACTTCTGGATGTCAGGTATTTTATCCAGCAAGGAGAAAGTAACTGAGACACTCATTATATGTTAGAAGTCTGGGAGGAGGAGGCAGTGTTCAAAGTCATAAAAGGGCAACCAGGGAACTTTCACAGCATAGAAGATGGAGCTGAAAATCATCAGTCAGTGAGCTTAAAAAGCAAGGAAAAAAAAAAAAAAACTGACCAGTTGGAAAGGAAAAGATAACAACAGGTTTATACACTATCTTTCTTTTCTTCAAAGAATACCACCAGGTAGGAGGCTGCTACAGACATAGCAAACGCAGGCTTCAATAGGGCATGTGGCAATTCACAACACAGACAAAAAGATGAAATGCAGGCAGGACTGAAGTTTGTCAGGAGGGGGATGGTAAGCGGCAGGGAGTACCAGTAAAGGCTGCTAGGGGCCTGCCCCTGGCCAGTTCAGGGTGCCATCAGTGATTGGATCAGGATGTAGCTGCTCACACAAAAATGGTATGGATGACCTGAGGCAGAAAGGCTGCCTAAAATACCTGGATAGCAAACTGAGCACAGACTAAATCTAACAAGATGAAATTTAACAAAGAAACTAAAGCCTGCTGTGGGGTTTAACAACAACAAAAACCCACCATAAAAGCAGGATAGTAATCATTTGAAAATAAAAAGTAAATGTAAGCCTTGTATTAGCTATAATGTGAGAGATTGTCATGTAGAATGTGAAAGTGTCTTAGGTCTACAAACTCTCATTGGACCTAGCAAAGAAGCTGACTTAGATGTGGGCCTTAGGATCACATTTTTCTTTGGACACATTTTACAAACAGATATGTGCAGTGGTAGGTGACTAAGATCATAAGGGACAGGACACTGCCCTGCTATAATATGAAATAGCCAGAGGTCATCAGCATGAAGGATGAAAGATGTAATATACACTAAAAAAGCTAAAGCTTACACTAAAAAGAAGGGAAACTGCCCATATAATATGGACTTATTCAAAGCAACTTCACATTTAGCCTTTACAAGAAGAAACATTTTAATTAACAAAATGTAAAACATTGATTTAGTGGGTGAGGATCTCAGCTGAATAGCTTGGAACTATTCTGAGTTCCGGGGAGGAACTTTGTTACTAGGCAAAAATACTAATATCCAAATGGCTCACATAGTAGGTCAGAGGCTGCTACAGACATAGGAAATGCAGACTTCAATAGGGCATGTGGCAATTCATAACACAGACAAAAAGATGAAATGCAGGCAGGACTGAAGTTTTTCAGGAGGGGGATGGTAAGCGGCAGAGATTACCAGCAGAGGCTGATAGGGGCCTGCCCCTGGCCAGTTCAGGGTGCCATCAGTGACTGGATCAGGATGTAATGCCTACAAACTGTGAGCCGAAACCTCTAGGAACTGTAAGCTAAAACAAACCTCTCCTCCTTTAACTTCTGGATGTCAGGTATTTTATATAGCAAGGATATATAATGCCAAATAAAGTTTAGAGACTGGTAATTTTTCTTCTGAGCTATGTTCTTGGAGCTTAAATAAAGGAATATTACTAAACAAATATTTGACCTTATAGAGAAATTTTTTTACCAACCTCCTAAAGTGTCTTTCCTTTAGAAATTATTGTAATGATTTGAAGAGTTCCAAGTGTCACAAAAATTAATTGAAACTATTCCTGTTTCCAGATTCACTGTCCTATGAGGGTTTAGAAGAATATATATATATATATATTTTTTTTTTTTTTTTTTTTTGGCTTTTCTCCGGTACCGGGAACCGAACTCACGACCTTGTGCTTGCCAGGCAGGCGCTTTGCCGCTGAGCTAAATCCCCAGGCCCTAGAAGAATATATACTTAACATTTTATATCTTTCAAGGCACTTTGTGCTTGTGTGATACTCAGGCTTGAACTGAAGGCCTGCTCACTGATACATCCACAGCCCTTTTTAAATTTTCTTTTCAAAAATCATTTGAAACAGGGTCTTACTGAGTTCCTAAACTCCCCAGGCTGGGCTCAAATTTGTAATCCTCCTTCCTCAGCCTCCCAAGTGCTTGGATTACAGGCCACCACACTCAGCTCAATGCACTGTATTTTGAAGAATTCAGACTAAAAACTGATAGCCTCTTTCAATCAAGGAACTGCACGTTTGGAGCGTTTGACCAGGTTGTAGTATTTGTGTGCAAGGTTCACAGCCGTCCGTCCTTGCTGAAAGGGAAAAGACCACAAAATTGAATTCCAATGATTTCCCATTTTTTTAACTCCATGGAGAAGGTAATTTACTTCTTCCTCAGTAAAGTTTTTACGAATTCTTCTTTTTTCTGCAATAAAAATTGTAGAATACATTAGTACTTGCTAAAAAAAGGAGTGTTCATGAGACCCAAGTAAGTGCTAACTAGAAACTACAAAGAAAATTTTGTGTCTGCGGTACGGATCATATGAAAATCCCCTTCAGTTTTAAAAAACAAACACCTACTGTTAATTTAGGTGCTACCATGAGGTGCTTCAATAATTGTAACTTAATCTACTGTAAGAATATCCTTAATACCTTTCAAGCAAGAAACAAAGTTTATAAACATTTCATTGTTAATGTAAAATTCCTGTGAGGAATTACCTCTCTCACAGATACAGTCTTCCAAAGGGCTCCATAACTTCATAAAATAGAATACTAACACTTGTTACTTTTAGTAGGCTCGATTAATATTTTTAAGAATAAGGATCTTTTGCCAGGGATATAGCTCAGCGGCACAAGACCTGCCTTGAAAGCAGAAGGTCCTCAGTTTGATTCCAGGTATCAAAAAAAAAAAAGAAAAGAAAAGAAAACCAAATAAGAATCTTTTAAAAGTTAAAAAACATGTTCACTACCTATATAGGTGCTCAGTTTGATTAAAACTCCAAAAATAGGGAACATAATGGTGAAGAAAGTTTTTTGATTGTGTGTGTGTGTACGCGCACACACACATTATTTGAAATAGAACTTAGGATCTTTACTCTGACCTGTGTAACAAGCTCTTCTTTAATTTCTTAAATTTTGAGATAGGGTCTCACTAAGTTGCTAAATTACCAAAGCAGGCTTGAACTTGAGATTCTCCTTCCTCAGCTTTCCAGAGTGCTGGAATTACAGACATGTGCCATTATATCCAGGTTGACTCCCTGGTTTTTGAGCAATACTTTCTTAAAAGAATACAAATTGATAAGCAAGTATTTCTGATGATAATTACTGGGAAATATTGTAAGTTTAGTTTTTTTTCATTTATTGTTGACTCATAAAATCACTGTAGATAGATGCTGGAGAGTAGTAGTTTGTATTTCCACTTAAGGCTTCTATTTACTTTAGGACTAGATATAGTTGTGCTTGGTCACCCTCAGAAAATCTTGCCCTTGAAAGGCAGGACTATTAGCCATTTGTTCGCCTTTCTAATATAAGAGCCACAGTTTAGACCTTTTAAAATAGAAGAGAAGGGGTTGGGGATTTAGCTCAGCAGCACAGCACCTGCCTGGCAAGCACTAGGTCATGAGTTCGATTCCTAGTACTGGAAAAAAAACAAACCAAAATAAAATAAAAAATAAAATAAAATAAAATAGAAGAGAAAATCTTACCAACAGAAAGCTGAGAAATCATTGTAAATAATATCTTATTATTACTTAACAGTATTACTCAAAAGCAGCTCCATGAGGCAGGAACTTGTGTCTAGTTTGTTAATCATTGTATTCCCAGTACCTAGACTAATATCTCAGACATAGGAGGTGATTGTTACAGTAATACATACCTCAGTTCATGAAAGCTTGTTTTTGAACAATTCAGTTCACAAATGGAAGCATTTGGCAAAATTTTGCGTTTGAAAACTCTGAACTCTCCATCCAGTGATGAACATGACTGTAGCCATGTTCCCCAGAATGGTGGCACAAATTAAGTTCACAAACCAAGGTACCACTATTATTGATTAAATTCTCTGAAAACTTATCAGTACTTGACAGTTTTGGGGCTACTAGAAAAATGTGGCTATGCAAGAAATAGTTTTTACCATCATTTGTTAAATGGTTTGAACCCAGTATAATTAGGACTGGATAGGTTAAAACTTTTGGGATACTGAGGGGCTGAAGCGGTTCAAGTAAAGCCATTCTATTCCACTGCGGCTGCCATCTTTCTGACTCTTGTACTTAGTATCTGTGCCCCAATCCTTAAAGGTTTCCACACCAGAGTAGTGGGCAGCCTGCAGGAAATGGTTGTACACACTAAGCCTTAGCTTCTTTAGTGCTCATAATATTGAATGTGTATTAGGACGAGCAGGTAAAAATGGGCAGGAAGGTTCAATCCCAGAAACTCTTACTTTCAAATATTTTCTAGAGGCCAGGCACAGTGGCATATGCCTATAATGCCAGCACTCGGGAGGCTAAGACAAGACTGCTGTGAGTTCAAGGCCAGCCTGAGCTACACAAATGAGTTCAAGGCCAGTCTACACTACATACTGAGAGACACTGTCTCAAAAAAGCAACAAAACAAAAATCCTCTCAAGCTACCAATCCACCCTGACAGAGAGCCCTGAGGAAACCCAAATGCCTAGATACTGCAGTGGTCCAGCACTCACTTATGAGTGTAAGCTATAATAAACGAATAGTGGTAAAATATCCTAATACAAAATGGAAATTTATGAAGAGGAAAAAAATGGCAAAATACCAAATATTTGAGGTCTGTTTGTAAAGATGTATAAGACCAAACAAAGCAAATACATAACAACTAAAAATATTCTGTATTCATTTACATAGCAAAATCATCTTCAGAGCTTCATGAAACAGCCATAATTTATACATTGATTATATTTTCTCAGGATGCCTTTGTAAATTCTAAAAAAGCAGGCCAAATTATTTAACTATTTGGTTTTAGCTAAAGTAAGTCTAACCTACAAATCAGATGTATGGTATTTATAAACTGAATATTAATAGTATTAAGATCACTCACAATCAATGTATACCCATAATTATGGTCTTTAACCATAATTATGCCCATTTCATGGGGCTCTAAAGATAACTGTGCTATGTAAATGATATAGATATTTTTACTAGTTATATATTCGCTTTGAGGACATGGTGAAAAAAATCTCTTACTAATTTGATTTCAAGATTTTCTTAAGAACAGTATTTCAAAGTGCAGCATGTCTCTATGGAAGTAAATTTCTAGTAGCTTCTACAGGAAATAGTACTTCAAAAACTGAATTTCTCTATAGTGGTGCTGTATTTAATTTACATGCAGAAATTTTAACCCAGAAAAAGACCTAGATATATAAAGTAAATTGGAAATTTCTTTCAAGTTTTTGGCAGTGAAAATAGCCAAATAAGTATTACATAAGACAAGATGTTTCCTAGATGTACCAAGTCCATATGTCTCTGTAAGAAATAACACAGTAGTTCTACTGATATTACTAATCTCCATTGCTTTTGTTTTTGTTCTTATTTTTGAGACAGGGTCTGGCTATACAGTTCAGGCTGGCCTTGAGCTCACTTTGTAGCCCAGGCTCATCTCAAACTCCCAACGATCCTCTTTCCTCAGCCTCCCGAGTACTGGGATTACAGGCATAAACCACCACGCCTGGCTCAACAGCTTAATCTTAACCTGCAGGTATTAACTCGCTATGGATAGAAGAAAATGATAATGTTCTACATATCTCTTTGATAAATTTGGAATAGTAATAAACTTGAAATGTTAACCTTGCAGTGAAACTAAAATTGCCATAAATTAACTTTTTAAGAAGCATTTTGAATTTTAAGCAGTGTGTGTTATTGAGATTTATACTATTTGTCCCATCAAGTTTGGCTGTGTGAAATGCTAGAGTTATGAACAAAAGCCTTCTGCAAAGTCTCTCTGAGGCACTTGTACACAGAAGAATAATTTTGTTCTTAAAATAGAAATGTGACCCAAGGGATAGAATAAAGGTTTCTGGAGAAGGACTAACACTTGAAACTAAGTTCTGATATTTACCAACTTACCATTACAAGACTTAAAGGAAATAATATCTGTAAAACACCTAGCACATAACAAGTGCTTATTAATGTTAGTTTTCTCCTGCTCCTTTCCTAGCTGGCAGGCACTGGGTGAGCAAACATGATGAAGAAGGGAAGGGGGTGTCTTCATTCTTAGCAGGGATAATACTTATCAAAATGGGTTCTCTTTTAAGATCCATTAAAATGAGGCTAGAAACAACCACTCAGCTCTTCTCTTTTTGCTTAGGGGTATGAAATTTAAATTTATTTAAAAATTAAATATATTCACTTATTCCTCCAGGGATAGTAGATTTATTAATAAGTTGTCTTCTACGTGGGGTCAGCAGAATTTCTGAAAAATATGGAAAACATTTAACAATCTGAGTATTAGTATATTAATTACATTAGTATGATGCCCCCCCCCATTCTAATAGGAGATCTTTGATAAAATGGAAAGAATTTTAAAGCACCAGAGACTGACTCTACTTCCTAGGTACATTTTAAAACTGGTTGCTTAGAGACAGATTTTCTTTTCACATTATTCTAACCACTAATTTTTAATATACTTAATACTGATCGTTCACAAGGTATACATAATTATAGTTTTAAAGTCGTTGAATTAATTACTTTTGCTACAAATAAGTGATTTCCTTAGTTCATTTTTATATCTGTCTTCAGCTTCCACAATGACTTTGTGACGATCACATTGGTATGGGCAAGAGTGCAAGAGCTTGGTAAAATTTCGGCTATTCAGGGGTTTTCCTACTGCTATGCAACCTAAAAGAAAACAAATTAAAATGATGTATAGATTTTACAAAATACCTACTAACAAATCTATGAAAGCAAATATCTATACGATAGTAATTGAAGTGAAACCATGAACTTAATTACAAATATTGCACATAATCCAAAGTCATGCAAGACTAAAGACAACAAATACATTACAATAAAATAAGCAGTGGAATAGAGATGTGAACAGACAGCAATAGTGATATGGAAAAGGAGCATCTAAGTTGGGTGGAGTGGTGCACAACTGTAATCTCAGCTACTCTCAAGATCGAAGCAGGAGGATCTTAAATTCAAAGCTAGTTTGGACAACTCAGTAAGACCTTGTTTCAAAATTAAAAAGCTGGGAATATAGCTCAGTAGTAGAGTGTCCCTGGGTTCAATCCCTAAGCATCACAAAAAGAAAAAAAAAAAGAACGAAAGGAAAGAAGAATCTACCTTGGTTCTTAGCTATTAAGGGAGAACATCCAAAAGCCAATCATCTCTTATCATTTAAGCATTTTTTGACTAGTACATAGCACAGGTTAATACTTTTATGTTCTAAGCACTTTTAAAAATTTTATTTTAAAGAGAAAAAAAATTTCAAAACAAGATAATAGGGGAGTAACAATGGTTAATACATTGTGTATTGTTATCTTTAAAATAGTTACTGAAAGTACAAGATATGGAGTTTTAAGAATTGTAATAGAAAATTATAAACAATAATAAGGGGCAGAATATACAACCCCCCCATATATCCATCTCCCAGCTTCATTAATTATTTACAGAAAATCAAATTTTGATTACACTGTATGTACACTGGAATGCTTGCATTAAGATATCAGTATAATCTAATATTCAGTGTTCAAATTCCCCCATCAATTCAAAAATTTATTTTTACAGTTAGTTGGTTAAATCATGATCCAAAGTCCATCATTACCTGTGGTTGCTGTCTCTTTCATTTTTATTTTTTATTTGTTTATAGTACTGGAGATTAAACCCAGAGCTTCATATACACTAAACATGTGCTTTACCACTGGATTCCACCCTCAGTCCTTGAGTTGCCTGAAGTCTATCAGTTCTCTGCTCTTTATTGACCTATAGAAGACACTAGGCTCTTGTGTACTCTGTAAACTGGTAATTAGATATGGATGAGTAATCAGATTCATGTTCAAGTGTTTTTGCTACAATGCTTCACAGGTAGTATTGTGTGCTTTACACTGCATCATATAAAGAGGCACTTGTCTCTTTTTTAATGTCAAAATGGATTAGTGGATTTAGGTAATATCAGACATAGTATTGGGGACAGCATGACTTCTCCAAACTAGGAGTAAAACTGGACGCTGCCACCCTCATTTCCTATTTCACGATTTTCATATAGTTCTTGCTTTTCATCCTAACAATCACTAAAAATTCAGCTTTATAAAGATAGAGCATCATTGTGCTAGGTACAGCGGCACATGGCTATAGTCCCAGCTACTCTGGAGACTAGACAACAGGAGGATCACTTGTCTCAGGAATTTAAGGCCGCCCTAGGTAATGTAATGAGATTCTGTCTTAAAAAAAAAGACATGGCATTAAGAGGAATGTGGTACAATCTAATGCTGAAACTATGAACTATCTTGAGTTCATATGGTATCTGAAAGATGGTCATTATTGTTGTGAATTCATTGCAGAGCTCTAGGGAGTGTGGGTGGACAATTTGGGAATTGTGGTTTTAGATTCATGAAAGAAAAGAGTTCAGGGCCGGGGATATAGCTCAAAGGCATAGCGCCTTGCTTGGCAAGCGCAAGATCTTGAGTTTGATTCCTGGTAACACCACCCCCCAAAAAAAGAGTTCAAAGGAACAGTAGTCAACAATACAAACACAGAGATGCTAAGGTGGGTAAGCCTTTTTTTGAGACAAGGTTGTACTATGTATTCCATGCTGGCTTGAACTCACTAACTCTCTATGTAGTCTAGGCTGGCCCCTCCTGTCTAGGCCTCCTTAGTGCTGGGTTCATAGGTGTGGTACACCTGGTAAGACCTTTTTTTTTTAATTATTAGTTTTAGAAAGTAAAAAATAATTAGGTATTTATTTACTTTTTTGAGACAGGGTCTCACTATGTAGTGTAGTTCAGGTTGGCCTTAAACTCACTCTGTGGCTCAAGCTGGCCTCGAACTCGCAGTGATCCTCCTGCCTTAGCCTCTACATGCTGGGATTACAGAAATGTGCTACCATGTCTAGCAAACCTGTAAGGTTAAACAGAATGGCAAAAGAAAAAAAATCCAGGTTTCAGAGAGTTAAGAAGGGAATGAATACACTGAAAGAGAAAGGCACAAGAGAGAAATCTGGCAATAAAATATGGAACGAAGAGTGGATGAATACTTGAAGGATAACAAATCACACAAGGAACTGTGATGAGGGGGAGAAAGTTTGAGGTAGGGTCTCCCTATGTAGCTTAAGCTTATATTGAACTCACTGTGTAACCCATGCTGGCCTCAAACTCATAGTGATCCTCCTACCTCATCTTCCTGAGTGCTGGGATTACAGGCATGCCCAGCTAGATTTTTTTTTTTAAATAAGGAAAAATGAATATAGTCTAAGGTAGGGCAAAAGGAGTTAATGGAAGAGATGAAAGGAAAAGATTTTGCAGTTATTAAAGTGGGCAGAAGAGATGGGATTCAGATTATGACTAGACATCAGGTTTAGAATAATATAGATAAATATCTATATCCAAAATGGAAGAATAACTTCCTGTATAATGGCACCAAAATATGTGTCCTGAGCACAATGCTGAGTGGCCCCCTGCTAGACCACCTTCTGTGACTTCTATTGGCTGCAGACTACATGGAAAGGACTCTGGGAGATACTCAAGCCACAAAATGCTGTTGTTGGTGACTCACACCTGAAATTCTAGCACCTGAAACTCAGATGCAGAAGCATCATCTTTGAGGGTAGCTTAGCTACCTAAGATTTAGAGGGAGACTGTATCCAAAATGGCAGAGTAGTGAGTGCCAGCAATTCACCTTCTCTAGGACAAAGTGTTTAGAGTCTGGAAAACAATAGCTTAGACAGGAATCAGAGTAAGTGGAAGTTACACAGGAACCATGAGGGAAGCGACAGAGGAGACGAAGATAGGATTAAGTGATACAGAAGAAATAGATCACACTGCAGAGGAGACACCATGCAGCACCGTGACAATGGCTGGCTAGTCACCAACCAAGGAAGCAAAGTGAAACTAACATTTTTGTTTATGGAGAACCAGAGAACTGCATTAGGACTGAAAGAATCACTGAGAAGGGCTGGGGATATAGCTCAATGACACAAGTGCCTGCCTGGCAAGGGTAAGGTTCTGAGTTCAATTACTAGTACAAAAAAAAAAAAAAAATCACTGGGAATTGGAACCAGCAAGGAAAATATGGGACACTGCTTCCACAGTAGCCTTCCACAGTCAACAGTTGGTGAGTGACCTTGGTACAGCACCAGAAACCACAATTGCAGAAGAAGACCTCGAGTAGAGAAGGTCTGAGTGCTTGAACCTGGGTCCCAGAGCAACCCCATAGCTGCTTCACACTGCCAAGTTCCCAGAGTAGATGAGGGAGACAGTCAGCCACGGGAGACTGCTGGCAGTTAAGAGAGCAGACTGAGGAGAGTCCCGCTGAGAGGTAAGGGCTGGTGAACACAGATATGGCTCCTGCAGTCAACAACCAAAGGGTCACAAAGGAACTCTAAGAAGAAATTGAAAAATTTTTAGAAGTTAACAGCAGTGATGGTACAACTTGTCAAAATATCTGGGACAGCATAAAAGTAGTAATAAGAGGAAAATTCACTGCAATCAATGCTCACGTTAGGAAAACAGAGCAAGCTCAAGTAGATACGAAACAAATTTATGAGAAATTTTAAGATACTTGAGAAAAGAACAACAAACAAGCCCCAAACTGAAATTAAGGAGAGAAATTACAAAGATGAGAAAGGAAATCAATGAAATTGAGACTAAAAAAAAGTAAAAAAAAAAAAAAAAATCAACAAATTGAAGAGCTGTTTCTTTGAAATAATAAATAAAATACATACGCTCCTAGCCAGACTTAACAAGAGAGTGAGAAAAGACTAGTATCAATGCAACTAGAAACAAAAAAGGTGCTGAGCATAGTGGCGTACGATTGTAATCCCAGCACTGAGGAGGCCAAGACAGGAGGACTGCTGTGAGTTTGAGGCCAACCTGGGTTACAAAGTGAGTTCATGGCCTGAATGAACTACATAGCAAGACCCTTCCTAAAAGGGGGGAAAAAAAAGGTGAAATCACAGCACATAATGTGGAAATACAGAAGATCATAACTACTTCAAAAAATTATATTCCAACAAATTAGCAAATTTTGAAGAAATGGAGATTCCTAGATTATAAATTGCCAAAACTAACCCAAGAAGGCATAAATATGCTTAACAACCTATTAACAAGCAATGAAACTGACATATCAGTAAATAATCTACCAACTAAAAAAACTCAGGCTTTGATGGATTCACTGCTGAATTCTTCAAAACCTTGAAGGATGCTAAATCACCAATACTTCTCAAGCTCTTCAAAGAAACTGAAAGGGATGGAGTGCTCCCCAACTCATTTATGGAAGCCAGTATCACCCTGACCCCAAGGACCGGATAAAGACCCAACTAAAAAAGACAACTATAGGCCAATGTCCTTAATGAATATAGATGCAAAAATCCTTAACAAGATATTAGCAAACAGACTGCAGTGCATTATCCAAAAGAGTATACATGATGATCAAGTAGGTTTCATCCCAGAGATGCAAGAATGGTTCAAATACATAAGTCAAAAGGTAATACATCACACAAACAAGCAAGGTCAAAACCATATGATCATATTAACAGATGCAGAAAAAGCTTCTGACAAAATCCCACACCCCTCTATGATAAAAAACCTGAAGAAAATAGGTATATAAGAACCATACCTGAATATGATAAAAGTTATGTATAATAAATCAATAGCCAGCATCATTTTTTTTTTTTTTTTGTCTCTTTGAGACAAGATCTCACTATGCAGTTCAGGCTGGTCTCAAACTTGCAACAATTCTCCTGCCTCAGCCTCCCAAGTGGTGGGATTACAGGTGTGCGCCACCACACCCGGCTCAGCATCATATTAAATTGGGAAAAACTAAAAGGGTTCCCACTAAAATCAGAAATAAGACAGGATGTCCACTATTATTTCTTCTAATGAACATAGTACTTGAAACATCAGCCAGAGTAATTAGGCAAGAGACAGAAATAAAACGGATACATATAAGAAAAGAAGAACTCAAACTATCATTATTTGCAGATAACATGATACTCTACATAGAAAACCCAAAGAACTCTAACACTTAGAATTAATAATGGACTTCAGCAATATAGGCAGGATACAAGATAGATCAACACACAAAAATCATTAGCATTTGTGTGTATCAACAGTGAATAGGATGAAAAGATTATGAAAAGAATACCATTCACAGTAGCTTCAAGAAAAATGAAATTCCTTGGAATTACTTTAACCAAGGAAGTGAAAGACCTCCACCAAGAAAACTCCAGTACTCTGAATAAGAGATTGAACAGGACATCAGAAAATGGAAAGATGTCCTCTGCTCCTGTATAGGTAGAATCAATATTGTCAAAATGGCCATAGTCCCAAAACTGTTATGCAGTTTCAGTCAAAATACCAATAGCATACTTTCCAGATCCATGAAAAAACAATTCTAAAAATCATATGGAACAAGAAGAGACCAGAATAGTGAAGTAATTTTGGACAACAAGAGCAAAGTAGGAAGCATAACAAATCTGATTTCAAGCTATACTACAAGCAATAATGATAAAAAAAAATGGCATGATACTGGAATAAAAACAGATACGTGGATGAATGGAACAGAACTGAGGATAAAGAAACTTCCTCCAGACACATTCAGTTATTTGATCTTTGACAAAAGGGCCAAAATTATATGTTGGAGGAAAGATAGCCTATTCAACAAGTAGTGCTGGGAAAACCACTTATCTGTGTGCAGAAGATAGAAACTGAACTTTTATCTCACACCTATACTAAATTAAAATAAAAATGGATCAAAGATCTAAACATTAAAACAGAAACAATCCTACTGGAAGATAAAATAGGTAAAACACTTGATAATGTAAGTATAGGAAAAGATTTTCTAAACAAAACCTCCAGTGCACAAGAAATAACAGCAAGAGCCATCAAATGGGAATACATCAGACTAAAAAGCTTCTGCACAGCAAAAGAATCAGTCAGTAAAGAGACAACTTACAGAATGGGAATAATTTTTGCCAGCTACTCCTCAGACAGAGGACTAACATACAGAATATGCAAAGAACTGAAAAAAAATTAAATCACCTAAAATTAAAGATCCAGTTAATAAATGGGTAAGAGAAAGTGTTACAGCTCGTTTAGAATTTGCTTAGCAGGTTTTCTGGTGTCTGCCAGAACCCTTACCCCACAAAAAAATGGGTGAGAGAAATGAACACACTTTATAGAGAAGAAATACAAATGGTCAACAAATATATAAAAAATATTCAGTATCTCTGGCCATTAGAGAAATGCAAACTAAAATATCTTATTCCAGAAAGAATGACAATCATTAAGAATTGTAATTCTTTACATTTACATCAGAAAGAGTCAAAGGTGTGGTTTATACTGTAGAGGGCAGCTATATCATTGTACAGTTCTAGCTATATCAATCAAACAATAATAAACGCTGGTAAGGTTGTGGTGAAAAAAGAACCTTCCTTCATTGTTGGTGGGAATGTAAACTAGAACAACCATTATGGAAATCAGTATGGAGATTTCTCAGTGAACTGAAATTAGAAATTTTGTATGACCCAGTGACCCTTCTGCTAGGTATCTTCCCAAAAGAGCTTAATACTACAGACATCACACTATAGTGATATATGCATACCAATGTTTATAGCAGTACAACTCATAGTAGATAAATCCTGGAAATAACCCATATACCCATCAATAGATGACTGGATAAACAAAATGTGTTATTTATATATAATGGAATACCACTCTGCTATAAAGAATGACACATTTGTGACATTTGTAGGAAAATGGATATACCTGGAATATATAATGTTGAGTGAAATAAACCAGACACAAAAGCTTAAATACTGATGGTATTCCTCATTTGAGTGAAGCAAAGTACAAACAAAAAATAATAATGGATAGAAAGGCATAAGGAGATGGATCTCTTGCAATAGGGAAGTGATCCAAGGGGAAAAGTGTGAGGGGTAAGGAGGAGGAGAAGGGGAAATAGGAACCTCAATTAATTGAAACATTATATGCCATATGCTAAGATTAATAATATCAACAAGAATGAAAAATAGAATAGGGGAATTGGAGAGGAGAGAGGGAAGGGGATAAGGTTTTAAAAAAAGACCCGTGGTATGTACTTGTAATCACTCCCCAAGATGCTTGCGAACTACATGAACTGCAAACATGTAATAATGAAATAAAAAATTAAAAACAAAAATGGAAGATATTCTCCTCTATTTATTTATTTTATTTTAAATTTTTCTTTGGTTTCAGCACAACTGGGGCTTCACCCCAGGGTCTTTGCACTGAGCTATATCCCTAGGCTTAAAAAAAAGTTTTTTATTTTGAGACAAGGGTCTCAGTAAATTGTTTTAAATTACCCAGCCTGGGTCAGAAATTATAATCCTCCTGCCTCAGCCTCCCAGAGTACTGGGAATATGGCATATGCCACCAGGTCAGGCTAAAAATAATGATAGTCTGAGCTGAACATGGAGTCCCTTTAATTTTCTCAGTAGAGTGCAGTAGTAAGCATAAGCAAGGTGGGTATGGGGGTGTGTGCCTGTGATCCCAGCACTAAGGAGGCTGAGACAGCAGGATTACTGTTCCAGTCCAGCCTCAGCTTCATAGAGAGTTCAAGGCCAGCCTGGGCAACACAGTGAGGCCTAGTCTCAAAAAACCAGGAAAAAAAAGCCAGTAAGCATGAACAAAGAAGAAATATTGGGATGTAAAAGAAGAAATGAGATGGAATAAGTACTGTAGAACATTATAAGAATAAGTACTACAGGACATTATAGGGCATGCAGCACTAGAAACATTTATTATGAAGATAAAAATAGGTATTAATACTTAATGCCTATATTTGGACCATAATCCAGAATACATATCTATTTATTTGTTCTCTAAAAACATAAAAGATGTCTGTTTTTCTCAGTAAAGGTAAACCTAAAGATGGCACTAATTGTGACAAAACAGCAATAATAAAGTGATAAATGAGTATCAACTGTATTATGTAAACAAACGTTTTAATTTTTTCATGGTCCAGATTGTTATTTCTCCAAAGGAAATGAAGTTTAAGTGACAAAGGTAGAACTGTCAATTCTAGTAAAAAGAATTAAGATGTGTTACATACATGAACCAACTCCCCATGATGAATGCAATCATGTACTAATAAAAATTAAAATTAAAAAATAAATACTAGCTAAATACATCAAGTCTTAATTATTAAACAATTACAACTAAAAATATTTACCTGAGCATCTATAATTCAACATTTTGGAACAGTTGTTAGTTGACTGAAAATTGACAACTTCTTTATTTATTATGTCTGAACATAATGTAAATGGATCTGGAAAAAAATTACAAAATGCAAGATTTTTTATTTATGAGAAAAGTCCTGACATTTATAAAATTTATTAAATTTCAAGATTTTCATAAATTTTAGCACAGTACTACACATCCGGTCATCCTGGTAGATAAACACAAAAATTCTGGACATCAGTAAAAAGTGCTAGAGGCATTTACATCAGAAAGAGTCAAAGGTGTGGTTTATACTATAGAGGGCAGCTATATCATTGTACAGTTCTAGCTATATCAGTCACCTAAACACTTATTTTCTTGAAAAACAAAAAAATAAAATATATTGAATCATACCTATTTCTGGTAACTGCTTCTTTCTATTCTTGACAATGTGAGTTGGATGCTTAAAAGCATGGTCACTAAAAAATAAAACAAAACAAAACCACAATTTAAAAAGACATAAAATTACTAACAGCAAAGATAACTATTTAGGACTAGGTATGGTGGCAAATGCTTGTAATTCCAGCTACTTGGGAAGCTGAGGTACAGAAGGATGTCAATTTTGAAGACAGCCTAGAAAATTTAGCAAGGCTCTATCCCAAAATAAAAATACAGAAAAGACTGGGAATGTAGCTCAGTGGTGGAGTACTTGCCTAGCCTGTGTGAAGCCTTAGGTTCAATCTCCACTACTGGAAAAATACCCAAATGTGTGTGTATAAGCAGTGTGATTCTGGGTGTTTAATAGGCATGTAACCTGGAACCAGGTTCTCCCAAAATCCACTGCTATAGTTTGGATGTTGACTGTCCCTCAAAAGTCCATGTGTAAAAGGTTTTGTCTCTAAGTTGGCACTGTTGTGGACTTTTAGAAGGTGGAACCTTGTAGGAGGTTCTTAGGTCACTGGGTATGTGCACTTGAAGGAGACCCTGGCCAGTCCTTCTCCTTTTGTTTCTCAGCCATGAAGTGAGTGGCGTGCTCATAACATAATATACTGTTGTTGTCAGAGGCCAAAAGCAACGGGCACCTCATTCCCCCTACCATTTTGTTGCCTCAAATATTTTGTAATAAAGACATCAAGCTGACTAATACATCTATCAAATTATCAAAGCAGGGTCTGCAACAGTTTCTAGAACTGGAGTTATATAATATCCAGGGAACAATACTAATGATACCAGCAGAAACATGGAAGAAAAACATTATGAAAAGAAGAAAGGAGGAAGGAATGAAGGCAAAAAAGGAAAGAACAAAATCAGTGGGAGAAAAAAAGCATACAGGGGCAGGATCACAATGTATTAATTAATTATAATCATTTAGGACCTGCATTAAAAAGTCCTGAAGTAGAGTGTGGGGTACATCTATAATCCCAGCCCTCTGGGCAGCTGAGGCAAGGGAAGGTTCCGAGTTTGAGCCCATCCTGGGCAAGTTAGCAACTTAGCAAGATCCTGTCTGAAAATAAAAAATAAAAAGGGCTAGAGATATTGTTCAGTATGAGGGCCTTGGCTTCATTCTCCAATACCATGGGAAGAAAAGGAATACTTCCTGAGCCAGGTAATGGTAATGCACACAGACCTGTAGTCTCAGGAACCAGGAGGCTGAGGCAGGAGAACTGATTGCACCCATGAGTTTAAGACCAGTCTAGGCAACACAGGAAGATACTATCTCAAAAAATAAAACCTTCTTGATTGCCAAAATATTTTTGTGTCTGATGAATAAATCCTTAATGAATAAATGTAAATTTTAATTTCTAACACAGTAACAGGTAATATACAAAAAAGCAAGAGCTGTAGACTAGCAAACAGACACAGCAATAGCTATAATTACAGATATCTGTCTATATACATGTATTTGTAGAAGGTACTGCCATCAGAGGAAAAAGCATTTAAAAATATAACTAGTAACAACTCAGTTGATATGAATAACACTAAAAACATGGTTGAAGTAGTGTATTAGTCAAATTTTCTGTTCCTGGGACAAAATATTCAACTTTCACAACTTAAAACAGATGAGGTTTAATGTGGCTCTCACTTTCAGGGGATTCAGTCAATGATCAGCTAGCTCCAAGGTGGAAGTATCATGACAGAAGGGTGTGAAGGAGGGAAGATGCTTAGTTCATGATGGCCAGGAAACAGAGCAGAGGACGGTGGCAAAGTGCAAAGGATCCAGAACCAGATACAGACTGCAAAGCTGGCCTCCATGACTCACTCAGACACACCTAGAAGTGTGCTTCACTAATCCTCTAGGTGGCTCCAAAGCCAATCAAGCTGACAAATAAGCTTAACTGTCAGGTAAAAGTATGGCCAACTCTAAAGGAAGAGGAAAGTACAGATGGAAGGCTTGGATCAGAGGGGGGACCAAAAGTATACCTCACTGCTAGCCAATTCCAAATCAAGTCAAAATTACCATTAAGAATGACCTTGAAAAGGAAAAAAGGTGTAGTTATGGTGTAATCAGTCTTCCTGATACTTACTTCACCCTGAAACTATCCAGAACATAGTCTTCCCTTGATTTTTTTTAGGTATAAAAACCATCGGAATAAAACAATACAAGAAAGAATAAGAAGAAAACCTAACCCCCAGGTCTAGCCCTACAGCTACCTGTGAAGGAGAAAGTACCTGTACTGGAAACAAAGTACAGGAAACAAACAAATGGGCAATGCTAAACTAGATTTTCATCACAGCCTACTCCCTTTATCATATTAAAGTTATAAATTGATTTCTGATATGATGCTGATTAATTACCAATGCTTGCATAGGTAAAGGGCTTCATTTAGGTTTTCTTTTTTGAGTGTACTTTCTAAAATTCAAATCTGATTGTCCTTCAACTTAAAATTCTTAATGGCTCCCCTTACCCTATGAGTTAAAACCAAAAATCCTGAGTAGGACATGCAAGGTCCCTGATGAACTTGCCCATATCTACTCATCCAAATTTTTTTGCAGATATTTCCTACTTTAGTCTACTCCCAAAACCATACTTTATCGTTTTTTATCCTCAGTGTTAATAGTGTCACACACAGTAGTATACAGTGCTTGCTAAGTAAAGAAATGTACAAGTATTAAACTACCTTGACTGAGAAACAAAATCCTTTTTGTTAAAAGTCGTTTCTTCATGTAGGTTTTGATTACAGCTTGAAGTGGCTTTATGCACAGTTTCATTTTGTCCACTGTCTGTACAGCATGCATTAACTGGATTTGCATTATTTAACAGTGTCTTTGCTTGGTCATCACTTGCACAAGCTGTAGAAATGACTCCATAGGACTTATAGGGCTGGAGTTGTTTAGGCTGGCTTTTAACCTTATCTTCTTCTGTGGTACCTCCAACATTATCTGCATGGAGATGTTTCAGTGTATCTGGAATGTTTATTTTCATAGATGAAATATTCTTATATTTTCCTCTTTGTATATTTTCCTATAATTAAAAATGACAAATTATTTAAATATAATTAATTTCATTATAATCCACTTTACATTTTTTTGTGTGTCTTTTTGAGACAGGGACTTACTGTGTACTTCAGGCTGGTCTTGAACTCACTACGTAGCCCAGGCTGGCCTCAAATGGCAATCCTCCTGCCTGAGTGCTGAGATTACAGGCAGGTACTACCATGCCCAGCCTATTTCTTTTAAATAATGTAGAAGAATTATGCTTATGACCATCAATAGAACATATATAATAACAAGGACACTTTACATTAGGAATAAAAAGGGAGTTTATTCAATAAATAATGTTTGGACAATTAGGGAGCCACCTAGGAAAATAATCTAGGCATCTGATAGTTACATAAAAATAAAGTCAAAACTGATTTGGTGAATGAGAAAAAAAAAGATAAAAGTGAACAAAATATTTAATTTTAAAAATACATATATTCTAAAGAAAATCATATTTTAATATTCTCAAGTAGAAAACCTTTCTTAATATTACATAAAATCAATAAATCATAAAGAAGAAAACTAAATACTTAATCACATAAAAATTTTTTATGTGTGGCACACACCTGTAATCCTAGCAACTCAAGAGACTGAGAGCAGAGAATTACAAGTTCAAGGCCAGCCTGGGCAACCCAGCAAGACTCACTCTTATAATAAAAATAATAATGGGATGTGGCTCAAGAGTACAGTGTTTGCTTCACATGTGAGAGCTCTAGATTCAGTCCTTAGTACATGTGCACACATGTACCCACACGCACACAAACAATTTCAAAAGTGGTCTTAGAGACCAGGATAGACAGATTCAGGGAAGAAAGGAGAAAAGCACAACCAATAGCAATCAAAACATCATGAAATAATAAGACCATGGGATAATTTTTAAGTAACACTAATTAAGGGGCTGGGGATTTAGCTCAGCGGCACAGCACCTGCCCAGCAAGCACAAGGTTGTGAGTTTGATCTCCAGTACCGGAAAAAAAAACAAAAACAAAAAAACAAAAAACACTAATTAAAAAGATCAAAATACCACAGATAAGTGAGCAACAAGATGAACAGACAGTTCACAAGACAGGAAACATAAATATCTTTTAAACACATGAAAAAAATCCTCAATCACACATGTAATAAAAGAACTAAATATTAAAGCTACCTAGAGATATCTTCCTCAGATATCACATTGGTAGAAATAGGGTATAGGGAAACAGACACTCATGAATATAGCTGATAAGAGTATATATTAGTATAATATCTATGTAGAAACAATTTAACAGTAACCTTCATAAAAAAACTGCACATCTGTAAAAAAAAACCTACAGATTACTTTTAAATGTGTACAATATTAATGCTATTAATTAACACTTTAAAGGCTAAAAGTTGAAAATAACATTTATCAGAAAAACAGCCAGTATATACATCCAGTACTCTGCAAAAGAAAAAAGTGAGTTTCTAGTAAAAATAAATTGAGCAACTAGGTGTGGTGACTAATACCTGTAATCCCCACAGAGGCTAATGAATCATATATTTTAAGTGGTATGGTATGTGACTTATATCTCAATAGAGCCATTACAAAAATGTGTGTATTCACATATATATCTTCATATGCATACATAAATGTACCAGGAATTTAGAGTTGCTTACACTGGTAAGCAACGGGTATTAAATATATTAAACAGGTTTACCTATTTACCTAAATAGGTTATATTAAATATAACCTAAATATCCATCAATAAAGTACCAGTTATAACACATCTAAAATACTAGTTACTACTCAGTTTTTAATACAATGTTCAATTGTTATGTTGAACACATGACTAGATGTCGAGCATAGTATCAATGATATAATATATGTGTAACGTGAAAATTTCCATTTTAACCATTTTTAAATGTACAGTTCTGTGGCATTAAGAGCATTCACAATGTTGTTCAACCACTGGCCCCAGTGCCTAGCAACTACTACTCTACATGGATATATAAGACAAAAAGTATATGTACATAGAAAAAATACTAATGTGTATATACAGTCATGAGCCACACAATGATGTTTCAGTCAACAACAGACTATACGTGACAGTGGTCCCATAAAATTGTAACCAATTTGAAATATTACTATTGCCTAGTAACACTGTACACATCATGCCATCATTACACAATGTATTATTATTCATGTGTTTGTAGTGATGCCACCATAAACAAACCTACTGCATTGCTAGCTGTATAAAAGTATAGCAAGTATTATTATGTGTAGTACATACTACTTGACAATAACAAATGACTGTGTTATTGGTTTACATATTTTCTTTTGATTATTTTAGAATATATTCCTTCTATTCTCAAAAAACAAGTTTACTATAAAATAATATGCTGTTTTAGATTAGCAACATCCTCACACATCTAAGTTTACTGCATCTCTTTTTTTCCTTCAGTACAGCCACTAAATCTGGGGCCTTTACACTGAGATACAACCCCAGCCCTTTTTAAATTTTTATTTTGACAGGGTCTCAGTACGTTACTCAGGCTGGACTCTAACTTGCAATGCTCCTGCCTCAGCCTCCCAGAGTGCTGGAATTACAGGTGTGTGCCACCACAGCTGACTCTCCTGTGTGTTTTGATTGCACCAAGAGGCCAAATCAAGTAGTCATAGTGGTGTGATGACATCCTGATGTTCTCATAATGATGAAATTGTCTTGGCCAGGTATGGTGGCGCACACCGGTAATCCCAGCATTTGGGAGGCTGAGGCAGGAGGACTGTTGCGAGTTCAAGACCAGTCTGGGCTACAAAGTGAGCTCGAGGCCAGCCTGAACTGCATAGTGAGACCCTGTCTCAAAAAGACAAAAAAAAGACACTGTCTTGTGATGCATTTCTTAGGCTGTATCTCTGTCAAGTGATATATGATTGTATCTGTAAGTGTTTACTGGGTGTGTGTGTGTGTACATGTGCACATTCGTGCCTGCGTGTGTGTGTGTGTGTGTGTGTGTGTGTGTGTGTATTTGGGGTTGGGTAGGTAGGGGGAAGAGATATTATTAGAATATTTATTCTCCATCTTGAACTCCTATTATGTAGATATTAGATCTCATGGCTCTTCTATATCTCATCATTTCAGTCATTATTGCTGCTTTAAAAATAGTTTTTGTTCTATGTCTAAGGATATTTTCTCAAATACTACTTTAAAAAAATAATTTGGGAAGAAGAAAAAATTTTACACCTTAATCTCTGTTAACAATATTTGAAAAAAAATTCTTATATTGTTTGAAACAAAGAAGCCAACCTCATTTTCTTCTCTTTCAAGCAGGTCTATCCTGTGCAGGATTTCTTTTGCTGTCTTCCAGTGCTCTTCAAGATTCTTTTTCGTTACATTTACGTCTTTTAATTGGTCTGCTTCATTTTCATCAAAAGAATAGTCTCCTACACTTAGACATAATTTCTCAGCTTTGTAATACAGAGGAAAAATGATCGGTTTATACATTACTAGAAATGTTACATTTTAAAGACAACCTCATGCCCTACCTCACCCCTTATGTAAATTTCATCCATCTAGGCTATTTTAAGTGTACTAAAAGTAATAGAATAAGTACTCAGGAGAGGCCCAGGACTCAAAAAGTCATAAATTAGACTTTTCAAAGTTACAAGAAAAAAGAACGGCATCAAATTATGTTATTCCAGACACACAAAGACCCTCAGGAATATGGGTATTGGTTTAAAGTGGGGTATTTTGTTGTTCTATTGTAAGGGATTGAACTCAGGAACTCACACATGGTAAGCATGTGCTGTATCACTAAGTAACATCTCCAGCTCCAAAGTAATTATTTTTAAAAACAGTATTCATGAAATGGTTCCTTCCTCTATCTTTTAAAAAATATATTATGTCCAAATTTTCCCTCCACAAAAATAATCCTCATAATGGTTATGCCCTCTGTGCTTCTGCCACACTAGTCATTAATTCCCTGAAGGCACCAGGCTCCCTCTTACCACTGAGCCTTTGTCCCTCACTGTTGCTTAGGCCCAAGACACTCACCCGTAATAAATTCCCTTCTTTTTGCATGATTAACTCTAGTCATTCAGATCTCAGCTCAAGAATTACTTTCTTCCAAAGACTTTTCTGTTTTAAGTCTAGGTCTGATTCCTTTGTTATAAATTCTGAATCATCACGGTCCATCTCTTCATAACCCTTACGTCTTTTTGTTGTTGTTGTTTGTTTTGGTTTTTGAGACAGTGTCTCACTATGTGCTCCAAGTAAGCCTTAAACTTGCTAAGTAGCTCTGAATGCACTCAAACTTTTGATTCCCCTGACTCAACCTCCCAAGTGCTGGGATTACAAGTGTGCCCTAGCATCCTGGTCTCCTTCAATTCAATTTACATGAATATATAATCTCACTTTTAAAGTTTTATATTGCTGTCTATTTGAGTTAAACTAAGCTCTGAATACATATACTGTGTTTTTCCTGTCACTGTATCCCCAATGCCCAGCACAATGTCTAGCACATAATAGACATTTTAGCATATTTTAAATAAATAAATGTCTTCTATATTATGATTTAATAATAAATCACTCTCAATTTTTACATCCTACAAACTGAACTTGGCTGCATGGCATAAAAATATGTGAATTACCTCTACTGTTGCTCTCTTCTAAATAGGTCTATATATGCTAAAAGTACCCTAGATTTTATGTCCAAATTATACATTCTGCTTCTATAAGAAGAACCTGGAGGCTAAAAGGGCATGGCTCATTGCAGCAGATACAAATTCTTTTTATAAACTTTAGTTGCTATTTTCTTATATAACAGTAAACTTACTAATCTTTTTGCAGTTGTGAAGCACAAAAGTGGCAGCTTTGTTTAGTTCCTCATTCTGAGATTCAGTTAAAGCTTGTATCATGAGTGGAAGTCCATTGTTTTTAAAAAGGTCATACTGATTTTCCTCTGGAAAACATACCAAAAATTAAAGACAACTATTTTATCATAAACTATACGGATGAGGCAATGATTCTTCCTTGGGATAATCACAGACATAGTTTAAATTTTTAAAAAATAGAGAAAATAAGTAATGACTTCTGAGATGTAGCCAAATTAGTATCCCACCTCATTAAGAGAAAAAAAACTGCCCTTCCGGTTTGAAGAAAGGTAGAGCAAGCACATGTGGTGGCACATGCCTATAATCCCAGCACTCAGCAGGCTGAGGCTGGAGGATTGCTGCTGAGCACAAGGCCAGCCTGGGCTACAAAGTGAGTTCAAGGGCAGCCTGCACTACACAGCGAGACCCTGTCTCAAAAAAATGAAAAAAAAAAAAAAAAAAGATGAAGAAGAAAAAGCAGCATACGGAGGTAGCTACTGCAGTAATCTTGGTAAAAGATGCTAAAGGATAACACTGACAATTGACAGAAAAGAGTAAGAAAGGTGCAAGAGAAGTAGAACCATAGGTCTTAATGGCCAACTGAATAAAAGGGGTGAAGGAGGGTGTGGAATTAAAATAAATAGTTGGGCCCTAAATAACTTGTAGAAAAAAATACTTTAAGCCTTTTATGTGACTATAGGGGAAAAACCAACCATATTTTCACTGCTATTTTGATAAGCACACTATATAAATCAATACTTAACCACAATCCTCTGTGCAATGACCAAGAGCAAGAATGATGCTAAATTTTTCTGCTGAATCCAGACTTTCATGAGGCAGTAATGCCAGAAGTTTTGAAACAATGCAGTACTTGGACAATACCACTCCAAAAGTAGCTATTAGTATAAAATAGAGAAAGCAGTAAGTACAAATTTAAAACTTATAAATGTACATAATTTTTTTCAGAGCTTATCCAGGAAGAATATGATATAGTCTATATAGTATCTATATAATATATAGATACATATATATGTCTGTATATTATATATTATTATATGTATAGATATATGTGTATCTTATAGATATACATATTCTATATATTACAGATATATATATACAATATCTAATTACCTATATAACATCTAACATATGTGAGCACACGTGTTAATACAAACTCACTCTAATAAGATGGCTTATTATAATAGTCCTCATTAGTCCTTTTAAAGCAAATTTTTTGGTTTCTTGTTAGTTATTCTGCATAATGTAAATACAAAGTAATACTACCTTCCTAAAAGCTGAGTATATCCAGTATAATGTATCTCTTCTTACCCACATTGGATACTAGTAGCGAAGACATATCTACATAATCAAATCCTGCCCAATATTAAAATATTCTCTTAACTGATGATGGTTCTACTGATGTTGGTTTTTGTTTTTGTTTTTCTGAGACAAGGCCTCACCATGTAGCCCAGGCTGGCCTTGAACTCACAGTAATCCTCCTGCCTCAGCCTCCCGAGTGCTGGGATTACAGGCATGCACCATCATGCTCGGATTCTACTGATGTTAAAGACGCAGTAAAGCATAACTGAACTTATGCAGAGAGGTGATAAAATTCAAGAATTCCATTACTGTAAGCCATACTTCACCTCATGGGACTTTTACTGGTGTTCACCCACAGTCTAACAATACTGGTGCCAAGAATATATAAATATATACATGTATACATACATACACACATACCTCAAGGGACTACGTCTTAATATATTTTCTATCTCTAGAGCTAAGCACATAACAGACACTATCACTGTTTTTTTTTAAACTACTTTTTCAGTTATTTGTGATTGCCAATGGAGTCTTGTATTATAAAGATTTACAGACTATCATCAGACTTGGAATCAGAAGGCCTAGATATGAACTCTTAGGAAAGTTATAACTTCTATGAGAAAAGAAGAATTAGACTAGATAATTCCTAAGGTTCCTGCCCACTTGTTGAGAAGCTGAAAGTCTACCCTATGTTAGTGTTTAATCTACCATTTCAACACTCACCATGCTGAACTCAAACAAAATTCAATTTTAGAGAACTTGCTAACAAGCATTGTTCACTCACGATTATCAGCAATACATGCATCCATTGTCTTTGTTACCACTACTGCAAGCTTAGCACTGGAAGGAGTCTTGTGTGAATCAGATTCCAATTGTACAAGAACTTGAGACAATATATCCAGTCCACCCACAGATATAAAGTATTTCTGAACATATGCTTAAGGAATAAAAGAGCAGAACGATTAGTATCTCAGACAAAGCCAGCATATGATTTCATTCAATTAATGTTCACCAAATATACCATTAACTTGACTTTTTCAAACACTTACTAAAAGTCTGAAAATTAAAGAATTAAAAAAATCTAATCTTTATCTGTGCATATACATAATCAAAGGGTAGATTACTTAAGCACTTCACTCTGACACAATACATGTGTAGTATAATACTGCTTTTTGTGTATAAGAAATCTTTCTTACTGCATTTAATGAGGACTGCCATGTTTTCTAAGAATATTATTATCCCTTAACATTACTAAACAAGTCTTTTAATAGAGCTATAAGGAAGAGATTAATTCATGTAGGTTGGTATTAAATTTTTTTGGCTTTTCTGAGACAGGGTCTACACTATACAGTTCAGGCTGACCTTGAACTCACTATGCAGCCCAGGCTGGCCTTGAACTTGCGGCTATCCTCCTGTCTCAGCCTCCTGCATGCAGGATTACAGGTATGAGCCACCCCAGTTGGCTGGTTGGCACTGAAATTAGCAAAGTGATTTTCTAAATTCCAACACATCTCATTCCTCAGATTGCTAAAATCTGCAAATTATTTAACTGTTCTAAAACCACATATCTCATTGTTCTTATTTAATGTAATTCTTTTTACTTTTAGATCATACTATTGAGGAATATTTCAAGCAAAGATCCAGTGACAGATACATGATTTTTAAGTCTAAAGCCTTTTGTTCCCCTGTTGAAAATGATTCTGATGAGGAATGGGGAATGACTCCCATAGGTCTATGGTTCAATAGTCTTCACAGCCCCTATCCTGGAAATAGGCTTATATCAAATGTATATGTGGGCTAGTGGTTATAATTCTGCCACAAACCTTTTTTTCCAGGTTAGCCTAGTCCTATAAATTAAAGCCAAGATGATTTAAAAACAAAAATCAGTCAGGCACAGTGCCACACATCTACAATTGCAGCTACTATGAAAGCTAAGGCAGGAGGACTGAAAATTCAAGGCCAGCTTGGGCAACTTAGCAAGAGGCTAAAATAAAGTCTGGAGAAGTATTGCTCACATTAGAGCACTCCTCAGTTCATTCCAACGACCACACAAAAAAAGGGCAAGGATTAATTTTTATACTGCTTAATAAGACAAAGATATTAATAATCTACAAATATCATATCAGGAATTTTATACATCTGAGAAACTGTTAAGGAAACATTATTTAAGGATAAGCAAATGTTTTCAATCTCATAGAGACTCTGAAACAGCTTCTTCACTAAAATGTATTTTTAAAAAGGAGTTTGTTTTGGAGAGCTGGGGATCTAACTCAGTCTTGGGCATGCTAGAGAGGGGCTCTATAAATGAGCTACACTCTCAGGCCCCCAAAATATATATTTTTAAGTGCTTAGATGACAATGGCCCTATGTTAGCATAAAATTCTTGGTTATAGCCTAAGCAATAAAATTTCAGGCTTATAAGCAAAACATTCTACTTCATACTGGTTGTATGTTGAACGTTTCAGATTTCTTCTAATTTATATTTCATACCAGTTTGCTGACAGTAATGAAATCCTATAACTACTGTTCATTTAAGCTGTCATTTAGAGAAATAGGAGATGACAAGGTATCATGCAAAGATTCCAATTATTAGAATTCTAGAGGTACATTATTTTGTATGTAAAACATGAGTATTTGTTGTAAATCCCTGAATATACATATAAATCAGCAATGTATAAAAGTTCCAGTTGCTCCATATATTCACCTCATTCAACATGACTAATCTTTTTTACTTTTATCCAACCTAGTAGGTCGGTTGTGGTATCTTAGAGGGAGTCTAGTTTGAATTTCTCCAATGGCAATGCTTTTAAGCATCTTTTCAAGTTCTTATTTATATTCACATTTTCTTTGCACAGTATCTGTTCAAATATTTTGCCCATTTTTATTTTATTTTGTAGTGCTGAAGATCAAACCCATGCCCTTCAATATGCTATGCAAAGGCTCCTTCACTGAGCCATATCCTCAGCCCAGTGCACATTTTTAAACTGTTAGGTATAAAGGCCTCTGCCACTGAGCTATATCCCCAGCTCACTGCCCACTTTTTAATCATTAGGTTGTTTATATGTTACAATTGATTTCAAGTGTTCTTTACATATTCTGTGCTCAAGTTTTTTAAAATCAAGTGTGTTTCTCAAACATTTTCTCCCAGTCTGTGACTTGACTTTTAACAGTACCGCATAAAGACCAAAAGATTTTAATTTCTTAAAATAAAATAAAGTTCCATTTATCATGCTTTTTGTGTTTAAGAAATATTTATTAACCCCAAAGTTGTATTTTCTATGTTGTTTGTCTAGTTTTATATTTTTTACTCTTCTATTTAGGCCTATAGATAATTTTAAATAATATTTTATATATTGTGTGAGATAAGGGTTGAAATTCATATTTTGCATATACATATTCATTTTTTCCTACCCCCTTAGTTGAAAATGACATCTCTTCCCCTACAGAATTCCCATGACACCTATTATGGTTTGGATCTTAAATATACCTCAAAAGTTCATGTGTTGAAGGCTTGGTCCCCAGTGTAGCAGTTTTCAGGGGCAAGACCTTGAAAGGTGACTGGATTATGAGGGCTCTGACCTCATGAATGGATGAATCCATTCATAGATTCATAGCTCAATGGGCTTGAGGGGAAGGACTTATTATAAAACCAAGCTGTCTCTGTTTGCCTCCCAGATACCATGAAGTGAGCAGCTGTGTTCTACCACATGTTCCCTGCTGTGATGTTGTTCCTCATCACAGGCCTAGAAACACGAGACCAAGTGACCTGGACAGAAGCCTCTAAAACTATGAGCCAAAATAAATCTTTCCTCCTTTGACTTTAACAGTGTACTATAAAAAACAATGTAAAAAAACAATAACCCTATATTCATTTATGGGCCTACTTCTGGGCTATGTTGTTTCATTGATCTAAATATTTATATGTACACCAAAGCCTCATTTTCCTGATTACAGTATAGTGAATTTTGAAATCAGATAATAGAAGTCCAATAATTTTGTCTTTTTTTCAAAGACAGTTTTTATTATTTTATGCTCATTGCATTTCCATGTAACTTTTAGAATCATCTCATCAGAAAAGCCTGCTGGGATTGGGAATGCCAGGAAGCTAGAGATGAATTTAAGAAGTGACATTCTTATAACAGAGTCTTAAAAATCCATGAACACTATTATTTCCATTTACTTATTTATTTAGTTAGTCTTTATTAAACAGGGTTTCACTGTGCTGTTCAGGCTGGCCTTGAACTCACTTCGTATCTTAGGCTGGCTTTGAACTCACAGCTATCCTCCTGCTTTAGCCTCCCACGTGATGGGATTACAGGCATGTACCACCGTGTCTGGCTTCCCTTGAATTTAGATATTCTTTATTTCAGTAATATTTTGTGGTTATCAGAATACACATAGTTGTGTCATTCATTGTAACAAAACACCCAAGATAAAAACTTATAGAGGAAAGGCTGATATTCTGGCTCAGTTTCAGAAATTTTAGGGCATGGTCAGTTAACTCCACAATCAGTCGGCTCTACTGCCTGCAGCAAAGCAGCACATCATATTGGAAAATGTATGGCATAGGAAATTGCTCACCTCATGACAGCTGGGAAGCAGAAAGAGAGAAAAAAAAGAGGCCTGGTCCTAATACTCACTTCAAAGGCAGACCTCCAAAGACCTGACTTCCTTCACTAGACCCCACCCCTAGAAGTTCTACTACCTCCAAACAGTGCCACATACTGAGGGCCACTTGGTCCTTCAATGAACCTTTGGAGGACACAGAAAAATTGTAACACAAGTATGGTATATATTTCATTAAATTTATCCCTAAGAATTTACCTTTTTGGTATTATTGTAATGGATCATTTCTTTATGATTCTAATTATTTGTTGCAGTATTCAGAAATAATTGATTTTGTACAGAACCTTATTTTGCAACTTTGCTAAAATCACTAGTTCTAGTAGCTTTAAATTTTCTACACAGACAATCATGCCATTTATGAAAAAATAATTTTCTCCTTTCTGTTCAATTTCTATGCCTTTCATTTCATTTTCTTTCTTTCATTTCTTATTTACTGGTTAGGATAGCCAGTAAAATGTTAAAATAAAGTAGTGAGAGCAGCCTTTGTTTTTTCCAGTCTTATGTAAAAGGACTAAGTCTTTCATCATTAATTATGTGAGTGTATTATGTAGAGGTCCTTTAGCATATTATAGAAGTTCCCTTGTATTCCTCATTTAGTAAGAGTTCTTATTATAAGTGTATTTATGCAAACACTTTTCCTGAATTTATTGAGATCATACATAGTTCTTTTTTTCTTTTTTTTTTTTTTTGTACCGGGAATTGAACTAAGGACCTTGCGCTTGCCAGGCAGGTGCTTGTGCCACTAAGCTATATCCCTGACCTTTTTCTCTAATCTATGAATGTAGTCACTTATCTAATTTTAAACCAATCTTGTACTCTTGGGGTATATACTACTTGGTCATAATGTATTATCCTTTTTCTGTATTGCTAGACTCAATCTGTTAATGCTTTATTAAGCATTTTTTGCTCTTGTTGTTGTTGTTGAGACAAGGTCTAACATGTAGCCCAGGCTGGTTTTGAACTTGGTATATAACCCAAGCTAATACTTCATTAAGAATTTTTACCAAAAAAAGGGCCAGGGAGATAGCTCAGCAGCATAAGCACCTGCCTGCAGGCAAGCCTAAGGTCATGAGTTCAATTCCCAGTACAAAACAAAAATGAAAAAAAGAATTTTTATGTCTATGTCCATAAGGGATAATTGCCTATAGTTTTTTCACAATGTTTTTTTTCACAATTTTGTATGGGTATAGTACATAAAGCGCTACAGAATGTGTGAGAAGTTTTTCTTCAATTTCTATTTTTGGGAAGAATTTACACAGAATTATTTGTTCACTCTTCCCCGAGATTTCTGGTAGAATTCACCAGTAAAAATCAATAGGGCCTAGAAATCCCTGTGTATTGACACACAATTTGTATTTCTTTAATGCATATACATGTAACTTGAGTGAGTGAACTTTGGTAATTTATATTCTTCAAAGAATTTGCCCAATTCATGTAAGCTGTTAAAGTTTGTACTATAAAGTTATTTCTATTATTTTTTTATTATCCTTTTAGTGTCTGTTAAGACCTATGGTGATGTCAGAGCTTATGCTGATATTGCTAATTTGGGCCCTTAATTATCAGTTATTTGGGGATTTTTTAGATGTTTTATTTTTACTTATTTGTGAATTAGTGCCACTGTGGTTAGATCACATACTCTATGAATTTTTAATTTTGCTATCTAGGTGCTCTGTTTTATGAGGCTTCAAAAAATTTTGCTATCAGAAGAGCAGCTGCTGAATAAGGACTCGGAGAACATAAGAATACAGACTATGCCTGAAGACTCAGAGGTGTAGTTGACCGGGGTCACAAGAGCCGTTTCAAAGCTAGAAACCAGGAGGACCTTGTGTAATACCTGGGGAGACCTCCTGGAAGCCATTCTTCCCCTGACAGTACAGGCTGTGGTGGAGGAGTGCGTGGAGCACTGGAGAGGTCTGCACCGAGATTCCTGGTGCCTGTGCTCACGACTGGGGAGAGGACACTAAGTGGTTGTGGGGTCCCAATGCACTGGGAGGCTGGAGAGAGAAAGCTACAAAAAATGGCTTTCGCCCCACATGGCTCACTTGAGATGTTAGTAAGGATTACCTCCTCAGTATTCTATAGCCGTGACAAGGAGGAGGCCAAGGAGAGAAAACAAAGAGACTGAGAAAAAGCAGCTGCTTTTGCTGCAGCACCAAGAGAAACAGACCCTAAGTCTGATTCTCGGGGCCCCAAGAAGAACTCGACGACTACATTCATCTGCTACCACTGTTAAAAGCCAGGCCACCTCAAGAGGAACTGCTCCAGGAAGCCCCCTGGGCCATGTCCTGAATGCAAAGGTAACCACTGGAGATCAGTCTGCCCTCTGAAGTGGAGGCCCCAGAGCTCAGACCCATCCTACCAGTTAGTCTAACAGGAATGAGGGGGCCCGGGGCATGCTCTGCCTTCTCCCTCTGGCTAGACTGTCATACCCAGGAGGAGCCCTGGGTAATCATGACTACAGAGGAAAAAGAAAACAGTCTGTTGCTAGATACAGAGGCAAGTCTCTCAGTCTTTCTTTTCGATCCTGGCCTTCCTTCCACCTGTCACACCTCAGTGAAAAGAGTCACTGGTGAGGTAATCCACTATTTTTCACAATCCTTAGGCTGTAACTACTTGTTAGATCTTTCTTGCGTATCTCTGTCTTCCTGAGAAACCACTTTGAAGATACCACCATATATTACAGCAGCCATTGATATTTTCCTACTAACCTGTCCATAACTCTGTAATGTTTGTATTGTTCCTATGCTATTTCGTAAATGGTGTATGTTTATTACTATGTGTTTCCTACAACAACCATTGAGAATAGTCAATGAATATTCAATTGGTCACTCATGTATAGCTCTATTTATTTTCTTTAGAAATCACTTTGAAGATACCAAAGTATAGTACAACAACCATTGATAACAACCTACCACTTCTGTCTGCAGCTCACTATAATTTGTCTATTTGTTTTCCTGAGAAACTATCTTGTAGATAACAATATGTAAAACAACAACCATTGATAATTTCCTACCACTTTGTCTGTAATTCAGTAAGCCCCCATATTACTATGTTATTCTTCTTTTACTCTTTCAAATAAAAAAAAAGAAAAAAGAAAAATTTTGCTATCTAGTCACTCTGCTGCTTCCACCATCTTCCTAATACTACCCATTCTTAAGATTTTATCTTCAAAAGTCTAAGTGCATCCCAAATGACCAAATGGTAGAAAATTAACTCATTAATTCAATTAATTAGTTCATTAAATACTTTTTATTTTTCTTTAAAATGTTTCAAGTATCACTGCCTAAAAAGTAAGTACTTACTGTTATTTGCAAGACTAAGTCCAATAAGTGAGCAAATAGGGCGAATTATCTCAGGTTTCTTGCAATTTATTAGCCACTCATTAGCATGTGGAAAAAGTGAACAGCAAAACATTTGATTCTCATCTGAAAGGATATAAAGTCCATCATTTTAAATTTGACATTTGGAAAATACGAGTTTTTACTTGTTTTTATTTTTATATTTAAATATCTGAGATAATTACCATTTTGAGGATTGTTGACACAGACACACAGAGTACTACATACTGAAGACCACAACTGGTACCTCTGGAAAACATTTTTATCTGACAAATTGAACTCATAGTTTGAAAAAACTGTCCTATTATGTTAAAAAGAAAAGAAAATAAATTAATATAAATGCATTAAGTTCTTAAATAATGAGTAGCAACAAGATATTTAGATTTGCTTACCTGAACAACCGTGACAAAACTGTAATACAACCTGTTTCTCTCACAAGTGTTTGTCCGCTTCCTTAAAAAAGCCACATATTATGCAAATATAACTTAGCAATAATTTTAATAAACAATTATCTTTCAAACCACTTAAAGGTATTATAAAGCATAATGCAATTATAGAAGCTAAAAATTTGTAATCAAGATTATTATGAAAAATATGCTATGCTTAGAGGCTAACAACCTTCAAGTTTCCTCTAGAAATTATGAAATAATTATTTTGCCTCATGGCTTTCTCTTACAACACCAAAATGTGCTCTAAAGGAGAAAAAATATTTTCTAGTTTTTCCAAAATAGCAAAAGTAAAATTTAGAAGCAATTAAATGCCTAACAAGTTACCTAAATAAAATAACATTTAAAAATAACTTTATCCATTCATCATCAGTTGATAGGGATTTGGGATGTTTCCAATATTTAGCAATGAATGGATAAAGACGTGTTTTTATACAATGGAGTACTACGTGATAAAGAAAGATAAGCTTGAGACATTTCTAGCTAAATGGATGTACCTTGAGACCATACCCTTAGGAGAAATAAATCATACATACATTGTCAAATACTACATTGTTTCACTAGTGTGAAAAACTGGAAGTGTAAAATTGAGAAATGGGAAGAAAATGTTCAAATGGGAATGGGAACAAAGGAGAAGTGAGGGTGAAAGGAAGGAAGGGACAACAAAATAAAAAGAAGGAAAAAATAGAAACAAAGCTTTTATAAATAAGGGGAGGTTGAAGAGAGGGGAATGGGGAATAAAAAGAAGCAAGATATATCACATAGAAGTACAAAATCCTTATGATGAATGTTATCATTGTGTGTATCTAAAATGTACCAATAAAATTTTTAAAAATAATTTTATCCTGGGCAGGCAGAATATGGGAATATTCTATACTATATGGGCAATTATTCTATAAATCTAAAATTATCCCAAATCCTAAATCACTTTACTATTTTTAAAATACATATCAAATGATTAAGTGCATGCTATTAATTCCTTTTCTAAAGCTAGTACTTCTAAGAAGTTAATGAGATTTGAAAAAAGACACTGATACAAAGACAAAAAAAATTTAAATCTATTATTTAAAATTATTTTAAACATTCATAGGAAAATGTACTTACGATTATTTGAAACCAGAACCAAAATAACATAGACAGACATTCTTTTCAAATTTGTGTTGGAATCATCATTAGATAAGAACAAAGTTAATTCTTCAAATAACTCTGAAGTACACAAACTTTGCTGACAGTAAACTGAAATATAAAATGTAATTTTAATTTCAAAGCATTAGTACAAACTAATTTTTAAGTACGCTGAGTAAAATGCAAAGTTGCCAAACTAAGGATAGTTCTCAATCAGATCTCATTTAACTCATATATGCCAGAAATACAACAAAATTTTTAATATACTGATACATGCTTAAGTAGCAGACCAAAGCAGCAGTATTTTAATCAAAAGTGCTTTATCTAGGCTTTAAAACATGTATTAAAATTATCTAGAATTTCCAGTAAAAACTACAATCAGACAAAAAATTTCAAAAGGATAAATAACAAACAAAGCAAGAAAGATAAAATTTGTACACCTGCTTTGGAAAACACAGGAACAATATTAGCAATATTTGTGTTATTTTTGACACTTTTTTTAGCAATAAAATGTGTTTTATTGAGAAACACTCAAGGTAGGGTGGCACTCTCCTCTAATACTTCCTACTTGGGCAGTTAAGGCAGGAAGACTGCAAGTTTCAAGTCTTCCTGGGCATCACAGACCCTGAAACAAACAAGCTAAAATGACAGACAGAGAGAGAAATAAAGTTTTTACAAACATTTAAAAAAAAATGATGTCTACATAATAGTGAGTTTTTGTGTACCTGATACTCACGCAATAAGCAGAGTCTCACAAAAATAATTTGGAGTATAACTCAGTGGAAAAGCCCATTTTTACATGTGTGAATTCCTAGGTTCAATCCCCAGCACAGCCGGACATGGTGGCACATGCCTGTAATCCCAGCACTCAGGAGGCTGAGGCAGGAGGATCGTTGCGAGTTTGAGGCCAGCCTGGGCTACAAAGTGAGCTCAAGGCCAGCCTGAACTGCATAGCCAGACTTAATCTCAAAAAGACAAAAAAAAAAATCAGCACTAAGAACAAAAATAATAATTTGAATACAGTAATATAATCAGCATATTCTCCAGTGCCTAGAACCAGCTATTTGACCCTACCTTAAAGGCAAGGTGTAGATTGTTTTCTTTGTGCCCTCAATTCCTAGTCAGATCTTGATTCTTAAAAGTTGATGGAGACATTTAATTAAAGAAAATATAAAAATATAAAGTTAGTTTGACAAACTGATGGGTTTAAATTCAACCTCATTTCAGGTATATTGTAAAGTGTTCTTGTCAACATGAATTTCTGTACCCAAGTTATATAAATTGGTTCTGGATTATCTTCATCTTTTGATTTATATCTGGATAAAGTATCAAATATATAAAAAAGAAATTAAATTCTAAAATTATTAGCCAGACGTGGCGGTGCACACCAGTAATCCCTGCACTTGGGAGGCTGAGGTGGGAGGATTACTACAAGTTCAACACCAGCCTGGGCTACATAATCCAAGGCCAGCCTGGACTACATAGTGAGTCCCTGTCTCAAAAAACAAACAAAAAATTATTTTTGAGTAACATATAATATATGCTTATATTTTACCATTTTTTTCTGCAACAGCTCCTAAAGTAAATAAGGCTGCTTCTTTTAACATGCTGTGTTCACTTGACTTTGCAAGATTTTTTACAAACATCAAACCACCAATTTCCCGAAAATAAACACTTGCATCACCTGTAGGGTGTAGAGATAAAACAAAATAGAAATTATTTGTATGAGGGTGGATGTGTGTGTAGGTTATTCTGAAAAAAATGAAGAATATAACAGAGTAAATGAGCAGAGGAGAAAGAGCTATGCATAATTAACATATAGGACTAAAAAATTAGAATCATGGGTAAAAATTCACAAGCATGTCTTACTGTTTTGTTGGCAAATTGAATAAATAGTGACCAAAGCTTCTTTTTGTGATAAAGGGTTGTCCATTTGGTACTTCAGACACTCCAATAATAAATTCAGGTCAGTCTTCATTTCTGAAGAAGAAAAATTTCATATTTTAAGCCAAAAGTTTTCTTTCAAAAACTAACCATTAAAAATTCACTTTCTATTTACGTATCTTCGATTTGTTTGTTTCTTTTTTGAGACAGGGTCTCTCCATATACTCCAGGATGACCTTGAATTCTCTAGGTAGCCCAGACTAGCCTGAAACTTATGATTCTGCCTCAGCCTCCTGGGTGCTAGAACTATAGGCATACACTGTCACACTGAAATGCTGGATATTTAAAAAAATACTACTTTCATAATCTACCAAACAATAAAGTTGTATGAAAACAAAGATGTTCTTTAAATAAAAGAACTTAAAATGAACTTCTTATAGCCCTTTGGTTCCCCCCTTGCATGTAATACAGGAATAATATAAAGGTTATTCTCTGTAAGCAAGGCTACACTGGTTTAAATATCTGCCATTTAGAAAGGAACCGAATGAAGCAGGTGTGGTGGTGCATACCTATGATCCCAGTACTCTGGGAGGTCAAAGCAGGAAGATCCCACCTCAGGCAGCTTAGCAAGACTCTATCTTAAAATAAGTAATTTTGAAAAGAGCTAGGGATGTAGCACAGTGTGAAGGCTGTGGGTTTAATCTCTGGTACCGAAACAGACATGAAGAAATGAAGGAAAGAAGGAAGTCAATTAAGAGGGAGGAATAGATGAAGGGAAGAAGGAAAAGAGAGAGGGAGGGAAGGACTAAATGAAAACACAACATATCAAAATTTGTAGGATGCTACTGAAGCAGTATTTAGGAGGAAATGTGTAGCACTAAATACCTAAATTAAAAAAGAAAAGTCTCAGTGATTTCAGCATCCATCTTAGGAAACTAGAAAAAGCACTGAGAGCTGAGACTTGTAATCTCAGCTACTTGGGAGACTGAGGTAGGAGGATTACAAGTTTGAGGCCAGCACAGACAATTTAGTGAGAAACAGTCTCAGAAGCTAAAAGCTGAGTGTGGTGATGCACACCTATAATCCCAGCACCCAGAGGCTGAGGCAGGTGGATCACCCAAAGTTTAAGGCCAGCCTGAACTGCACAGCAGTATTCCTGTCTAAAACAAACAAAACAACAAAAATAAAACTAAAAAGGTCAGAAGATGTACCAGTACAAGTTTAATGCCAAGTACTGAAAAATCAAATGAATAAGAAAAACAAGCAAATTAATCCCAAAGTAAGAAATTATAAAGTAGGAAAACAGTAGAGCAGGTGCTTTGAGAAGATAATACAACTAACAAACCTCTAGCCAGACTGATTTGGAAAAACAAGTACAGATATAAATCACTAATATCAAGAATGAAAGACATGGCATTATCACAGATTCTACAGATAATTCAAAAGATAAAAAAGAGCACTATACATAACTTCACACCTATAGATCAATAACATAGGTGACAAATTCCTTGAAAGATATCAATCACCAAAATTCAGAGGTGAACAGATAACCTGAATATATATATATATATAGATAGATATATAGTTATATATAGATATATATATATCTATGAGAGAGAGAGAGAGGAGTTGAATGCATAAAGTTTAATCATATACTAAACCATGTAATGAAATACTACTTGGTAATTAAAAAGAATTAACCACTGATATATGCAACATGGATGCATCTCAAATTAACTACGCTGAGAGAAAAAAGCCACAGAAAAAAGTACATACAATATGATTCCAAGTATTGAAAAAATACAAATTAGTCTGTAGTAAAAGAAGACAGATTAGTGGTTACTTAGGCAAAGAGCATCTGAGAAGGGACAGAAGAGATGCGTTTTTCAAGGACAGGAGGATATATGCACCATCTTGATTGTCCTGATCTTCGCACAGCTATGTACATACGTCAAAGTTATCAAAATGTAAGCTCTTTGTAACTAAACAGCAGACAGCATTCAAATAAAGTTATATAGAGACATTGGCATAGTGTGTGAATTAACATTTAGAATTCTGAAAGATATAGGATGAAGAGTGGACATAATAATATAGAGCACACTAAAGAAACTAAGAGTATCACCAATCAATGTTTAGTCTTCCTGAACATGCCAAAGAAAACTTTTGATGGGAATAGTGGTTTTCAACTTAAGGCACAGTGTAGGGTGTAAGAAACTTCTTTATGTACTTCTCCATAACTTTCTGTACTTCTGTCTCATATAGATCTCCTATAATACTCCTTCCCTTCCCAGCCAAACCACCTTCTGACATCTACAATTATTATGTTTCATCTTAGTTTTGTCATCTCTAGGCTGAGCAACCAGTTCCTTTAAAAATTCCTAAAAAGAGGAAGCAAACAAAAAATAAAGTAAATATAATACCAAAAGTATAAGTAATAAAAGAAAATTTGATAAAATTGATTTAAAATTTAAAACAAGCAGCGCACAGTTCCCTTTTAAACTGCAGCTTACTAGTCCTAATAAAGCCTCTTCTGGATGGCATATAAAAAACTTAAGATGGGCATGGTAATCCCAGCACTCGGGAGGCAGAGGAAGAAGGATGGTGAACTGGAGGCCTATCAGGGCTACACAGTGAGTCCAAGGGCAGTCTGAACTATATGGTGAAACACTGTCTCAAAAAAGAAAAAAAAAATTAAATGTTGAAGCTTTAAAAGATATTCAAAATGTGAAAAGAGAGCCTAGTCTGGAAGAAAATATCTATAAATCAGATATCCAAGGAGATTGTGTTCAGAATATTAAAACTCTTAAATGCAATAATAAAAAGATAATCTAATTAAGAAGTATGCAAAGGATTTGAATGCACATGTCTCCAAAGATCAATTGCCAGAAGTAAGCAAAGGATTTGAATGCACATGTCTCCAAAGATAAATTGCCAGAAGTAAGCAAAGGATTTGAATGCACATGTCTCCAAAGATAAATTGCCAATAAGTATATGAGAAGATAACACAACATTGTTACTCATTAGGAAAATGCAAACCAAAACCGTAATTAGATATCACTTCATGCTGCTACTAAACAAATGACTTTAAATAAAAGTCATTTGATGGGAGTCACTGATGGGAGATAACAGATAAATACTCTTTACCTTTTGGCTGGGATGACTCAGGGGTATGACTCCCAGAGTTTCTGAAGAAAGTTAAGCTCCAATACCCATAAATGGATAATGTACTCTTTGATCTACCTTTCCCTTCCTACCTCAGTTTCTCACTTCCCAACTAGTGTTTACTAGAATTTTTTTTTTGGACTACTTAAACCCAAATCCCTGTCTCAAGGTCTACCTCTTGGGGTAAACCAAATAAAAATATAAAATGAAAGAGAGTGAAATATATCAGATGAAAGAGATGTAGGGTGGAAGTATGATGGGTGAATGGAGGGGGTATCAACAATAATTATCTATCTTTTCAGCTTCCTCAACTTTTCCTTCTCCAGAATCTTGAATTTTCTCTTCAAAAATCTTTGGCCTCTATAATCTTCTAAGACTTCCTTGACAAGCTAGGCACAACAGCAGACACTGGTAATCTCATCTACATGGGAGGCTGAGGCAGAAGGATCCACTGAGGCCACTTTAAGGTCAGCCCAGGGAATATAGCAAGACTTTGACTCCAAAAATCAAAACAATAACCACACTGAGACTCTACTGATATTGGAACTTCCCTCTAGCTATTGCCATATACCTTTAGTCAAATTTCTTAAAAAACTAAGCTACTTATACCATCTTCAGGTCTTCATTTCCCATTTAAATATACTCTACAACAATCTGACTGATTGTTATTAAGTCTATCTTTTATTTTTTCTCAGTACTGGAAACTGAGCCCAGGGCTTCACGAATGCTAGGCAAATCCTCTACTGAGTTATATCCTCAAACTTTTTTATTTTTATCATTATTATTATTTTTTATCTTGACACAAGATCTTGCTATATTCCCTTGGCTGACCTTGAACTGGCCTCAGTGGATCCTTCTGCCTCACCTTCTCAAGTAGCTAAGATTACAGGCTATGTGCTACCATGCCCAGCTGTTAATAAAACAAATGACATCTAAATGCAAAATCCTGTGAAAATTCAGTCCTCATCTGTGGTATGTGGTACAGATACTCTCATATGATTTCTTTCTCATGAAGCATTCTCCTAAGGCTGTAACTTCCAAGACATTACACTTTTGATTCTTTCTCCTTCCTGAAATGTTTTTTTCAGTCTTTTTTTTTTCTGAGACTGTTCTCTTCAGCTAAACCTTTGTGTTAGCATACATTAGACACACTATTCCCCATCCTTTTCATATTGTTTCTATTTTTCTGAGAACAATTGTTACACTGCACCTTCTTGTAGACTTTGACAGTGGTCCTCTCAAGTTCCTGCAATTATTTTATATAGGATCATTAAACAACTATTATATAACATTCTAAGCATCAGCATGCTTTTTTGTTTGCACGTCATTTCCTGAAGCCAGGAATTAAGTGATAGGCACAAAGCTGGTGTTCAATGCTGAGTGACTTATTCCTGGATGCTGTCAGATAATCTGCAGTATAACCCACAAACATATTATAAAACTAACTGTAGATATATGATCCATGAATTTCTCACCTTGTATTTTCTTTGTGTCCTCAGTGTCCATGCTTGACTGTATTCGTATTTCTTTTTAATTCATCTACAAGAGAAAGGTATTTTCTCATTTTAAATTGGATTTTAAGAATGCCAGAAATACAAATACAAAGGAGATAGGAAAAAAATAGTTTTCTTAAAGCCAGAAGACAAGGATTTGAATTTGCAACTTATGGAAATGTGATATTGGACCTGTTGCTTGAATTCTCAGATTCAGTTACTTTCGTGTAAAATAAGATGGTAGAATTGTTTCAAGTATTAAATTTGAAAATGTATGTAAACACATCTAGCCTTTTTAAAGAACTCTAGGCATTCAACAAATTTTATTAAACAAACGAATGGTTGATTGACTAAATCAAACCAGTCCTCTTTTGGTCCCACTTCCTTTTTTTTTTTTTTTTTACTACAAATCATTATCCCACAGTTTCTGATCAGATATCACTGCATGAATCAAGTTTAAAACATAGACACAGACATACACTCTTTAGATTTCCATTTCTCTCCATAAACTAAGCTTAACACTAATTTTTTCCAAGAACCCATGGTTATTTTTGGTATGGTATTCTACCACTAAGCTTAAATCTTTGTATATATCATTTCTTTTTTTTTTTTTTTTTTGGTTTTTCTCCGGTACCAGGAACCGAACTCACGACCTTGCGCATGCCAGGCAAGCGCTTTTGCCGCTGAGCTAAATCCCCAGCCCCTGTATATATCATTTCTTAGGAAAATTTCTATATACATCACTTGTCAGAAAAATGAGGCCATTCTGATATGGTCTCTTACATGCCCTAATTGAGAATGCTAAGTTGAATATTTATAAAATGTATCACAGTCAATTTAATTTCTTAGAGCAACAAATTAGGTCTGCAAAATTCTATACTCTTTTATTTCAACATGAAAATAAAATCCCTAAGTTTAAGGAAATTAAAAATATGAAGATTTTTATAAGTTAATATATGAACCTATATTAGTTTTGCCATTTTAACATAATATCACATTAAAAAGGAAATGACAAGGTATATTATAACACATCCACAGGATAGGTTATTGTTACAAGAATACTGACCTTGAATAGAAATGTTTAATTGCAACAAAAAATGCTTACGTTAAAAGGCTTATGTTATGTCACAACAAAAAATGTTATGTTAGCAACAAAAAATGCTTATGTTATGTTAACCATAAAGAGCAAGATTCAAAATTTTATCTATAGTATAGTACCAACTAGATAGAGGCACACAGAGGCAACTAGATAGAGGCAAATATAAGATTGGATAGAAAGACAGCAACATTATTAACAGTTATTTTTAGGAGGTGGTTCTATGGCTGTTTTATTCCAGTGTTTTTTGGTTTTGCAATTTTTAGAATAATAACTTCTAACATTCAGTAAGTACCTACTATAGGCCAGACTCTGTCCTTTACACTTTACAAATATTACCTTTTTAGTCATCACAATAACTTTATGAGGGAGATACATGAACAAAGACTGATGAGTTGGAATGGAAACCAAGAACATCTGAGGTCAACAGAGGAAAATCTTCTCCTCCATTATATGTCTCCCATATGCAAAACATATTCTCTGCATATTATATTATACATATTATCTTTCAGAAAATGAGTTAAGATTTGGAAAAAGAAAACTAGATGTTTTTAAAATGAGGGGTTAAAGGCATACAACTCATTGGTGAAGTGCCTGCCTAGCATCCACAAGGTTCTGCTTTGATACCTAGCACTGCCAATCAAATAAAATAAAGTTATGCTGCATAATTTTATTTGTTTTTTTGTTTTTTGTTTTTTTGTTTTTTCTCCGGTACCGGGAACCGAACTCACGACCTTGCGCTTGCCAGGCAGGCGCTTTGCCGCTGAGCTAAATCCCCAGCCCCTTATGCTGCATAATTTTAATGTGACTAGTGAGGCCTAAATAGCCTTGCTTTTAGTTCAGCACTAGAGATTCATGCAGCTGAGTGATACATTTGCCAGACTCTGGGTTTGATTCCTAGAACAAGGAAAAAAATCAAACTTAAAAAATGGACAATTGTATCATATGAGGATGTTTTTGTTTTGTGGGGAAGCTTAAAGATTATTTAATTAGACAGTGTTCTTTTAATATAATTTTTATTTTTAAAAGAGGGCTAATGTATAAATTTTCTTGTTTTTTCACTTCTGTTTGCAGTGCTGGAGCTCAAATGGAGGGCCTTGTACATGCCAGACAAACACTTTACCACTGAGCTATATCTCCAGCCCCTGTATAACTTTAAAATCTAAATGTCTGGAAATTGACATTACAGTACACTATCTTCTTTTGTCTTCTTACATTCTTTTCTAATAAATGGTTACTCTACACAGTAAAGATAGTTTGCCAAGCATCTATTGTAAATTATCTATTTACGAGTTAAGTGCTTTAAAACATCCACAGCAAAGGACAAGTTATAAGTTTGAAGGGATTGCTAATTATAAAATTCTACTTAAAATTATAAAACAAGTGTAGTCTATTCCCAAGAACAAAAACAGCTGCCAAATAATGCAGATTATGAAGTGTCCTCAGTAATTTAGCAAACGGCTGCAAACTGTCACCAACAATGAGACTTTAAACATCCTTCATGGTATTAAGGCAGGATAAAAGAAGTTTTCCACGCACCTTATCCTGCTTACAGGTTTCACTCAATCTACTCCCCAAAACAGCATTATTAACTCAAATTCGAATTTCAGTAAGAAAACTAGGGAACATTATTCCCCTATCTCTTTGATGCTTGGGACGGGACAAGGAACCTCACTCATGATATGAATATGCTCTACCACTAAGCTCAGCCCCTGAATTTTACTTATTTACCTAACCTAGAAAAGCCATCTTTCTGTGTAAGACTGGCAGGGCTAAAGAAAAAGTAATCCAGCCCTACTGCCATCACTAATTTGACAATGGCTAACCAGCTCAGAATCATACATTGAAGCAAAGTGCCCTTTAAAGGAGGCAAGGTGAACAACGGGTTTGCAGCTTGTGATACTTTATAAATTTTCTGCTGCAACAGTTTAAATGGATTGCAAAGTAAGTTATTCGGGTCCCAGAAAACGTGCTGAGGGTACCAGGAATCGGGAAGCTCCACGATACGAGCACGGATGAGAGCACAACGCCCCATCAGCCCACCCACGCTCCCCAGGTTACTCGCAGTCTTCCCAAGATCCGCCCAACTCCACCCCGTTCCCACGACTTCCGCGGACGCCAGCCCCTGGCTCCCCTGAAGAGCTGAAGCCCTCCTCCGCAAGAGCACAGACGGCCCTCAGGCTCCTCTCAGACCAGGCGCTGGCTCGAGGCGCGGCCTGGGCACACGTGGGCGTCGCTCAGCCCGAGAAATGATCTCTGCCTGTGGGCCCCACTCGTTCCTTTCAACAGACCCACCTGGGAGGAACCCTGGGTCTGGGCCACACGGCGCACTGGCGCACAGACGCCAAGCTAAACGGTAGCTGGCAGCGGCCTTCTCCAGGCTGTGGAGGCTGCCGAGTCTGGGGCCTGCTCAGGGCGACCCTGTATCCTCAGCCCAACACCTCCCCTCAAGAGGGCTGGTCCGTGGGACCCGCGGGGCGGTTCCGCATCCGCGCTGCTGTGAAGGGACCTGGGCGGCCTGCGCAGCCTGCCTGCCACAGGAACAACACGCGCGGCTAAGGCAACGCGGGAAGGCGCGGAAGTGAAGGCCTTGGCCCTCACGCTCAAGGTGAAGCGCTCTGACAGCCCTCTAGCCCTCGCTGCACACCCACCTCACTACCTGACGAGGCTTCCCGCCTAGGGGGCCAGGCTCACTTCCGCTGGGCGGGACTTTCGGCTGGAACTTCCGCCCTCAGGGAAGCCTATGGGCGGGTGGGGAGGTTTTAATGGAGGAAAGCCACAATTTGAAGGGGGTATCCCCTAATCTCATTGCCCCCGGTTTTGAAGACTTTTGTGCCTCAGAGAGGTGTTAGCCCCAGAGGAAATAGGGCTCCCATGCTGACAAAGCTTGGCGCAAGGACGGTGGCAGAGCAGCCTGTGATGTGGCGCATGCGCAGGTGTGAGTAGGCGGCCCCTGCCCAGCCGTCACTCCCAACCTTCCCGACACTAGGCCATCTTCCTTTGCGTTGGGCACTCCGCTGCCACTTGCCACTCTGCTTCATCAGGTTGCCACCTCATGGGCACCTTCAGTTGAGGCCAACAGCAGTTTTCTCTGTCTAGACCCAAAGACCACGGCTCTTGGCTCTCACGGATTCAAGGCCCAGCCTTGTCTAAGGCCTGATTCCTCTAATAAAATCCAATCCATGGGAGTGTTGGGAGATGGAAGTGAATTACTGTTACGAGGCGCCTGCTGTGGCAAAGGTCAGCGGATAAAGGGTTTGACCCATTAAGGCCCAAGAAAACCACATCTCTGGAAAGCACCCTCTGGGCAAATCTAGCCAGCTTCTTTCTTAGGAGATAACCCTCTTTAGAGACCGACCTGCCCCTGCCCATTTATGGTCCTTAAGGAACTGACAGTCATTCCTCAGCCATGTATGAAGTCAGAAACTGGACCCCGTCTCCCCTTCTGGATTTCAGGTTTGCAACTATGTCCATCAATGATTAATAATCCAATGTCATGAATCTTCAAAATGAAGATTAACATAATATAGATGGAACAACCCCATAAAATTGCAAGAAGTGGCAAAACTTAAGATGCCACTACATACAAAACGATGGTTTTGTTTCCCGATGAAACTACATGCTCTGTAACGGTTTCCTACTACATTGTATTCATTTTTAACACATAATGATGGTCCTAAAGTGTCCATAGCTAAAAGTCACATGTAGCTAAAATTCATTATTTAAGATGGTAGTGAAAGAATATTTAGGCTATTTCTAAGGAAATAAAATAACTGATGATGAGTAACTAAAATAAGCCAGTAACAATGAACTCAATGAGAAATGGGTAACTTTTATTCTCTGGGAAAATGACTGCTTCCTTTCTCCTCCCTTCCAAATAACACTACATTATTACAAATGAGAAAAATATTTATTGAGGAAACAATTTAACAGCTGTCCTTCAGCAGAATTTTACAGATTAAACTGTACAATAATTTTACTGAAGACAATTACAATTTCAGTCATTAACACAGTTAACATGGTGCTTAATCTATAACTGGTAAGTTGCTGAAGTTTGTGACATGCCACTATAAATGTAAGTATTATTGAAAATTACAAATTGCTTGGTGACAATCTTAATAACCTCTTGAGCAGCAGCTCCTGCAAAGAAAAAGAAAAGCAAATCTTTAAAAGGAGAAAATGTCAGGAGTTAAAATAAAACTACTCAGTTTTGTGAAGAAGCCTTTTTTTTTCCAGAAGCAAACATGTTTAAAAGCAACCCAAAACAGGCACAGCTTACTCAGTCATATCAAAATAAAAAAAATAATTCCGTATTAACTGTGGTATTAAAGGAAGTAAAAGTTTTGTTTTAGAAACATAACTGGCTATTATGCCACAAATTAAAAGCATGAAGTATTTTTAATTATGGTAGTGCAAAAGATTGGCAAGATACAGTAAATGAACAAAACAAAGTTTAAACAGTGGTAGTCTGGTTCATGGAACTTCTTTTTTTTTTTTTTTGAGACAGGGTCTCACAGTGCAGTTCAGGGTGACCTTGAACTCACTGTGTACTCCAGGCTGACCTCCAACTCATGGTGATCCTCCTGCCTCAGCCTCTCCAGTGCTGGGATTACAGGCATATGCTACCACACCTGGCCTAGATGAAACTTTTCAAAGGCTACATAGAGGCAAAAAAGATTCAGCAGGACACCCTTTATGTGGAATTTGAATTTTATCTTATTACTTTTATAATAAAAAAAAGGTATATTTACTCTAAATACATTTGTAACTTCAAAAGAACCTATATTAAATACTGCCGACCACCTACAATTATTCAAAACAAAACATAGAAGAAAAAACTACAAATAAAGAAAGTTCTGCATCTTTTTATAACCTGAAGCTGCTTCTTTCTTTTCTAAAGCATTCACTGACATCGTAGGCTTACTTTTTTTTTTGGTACCAGGAATCAAACTCAGGACCCTGTGCTTGCCAGGCAGGCACTGTGCTGCTGAGCTATATCCCTGGCCCAAATATTGTGTTAGGCTTACTTTTTTTTTTGACATCATAATACTTCAGACTCAGCAAACAGTAGGGAAAAAAAGACAAAAGAATCTGCTACTTGCTTTCATGGACCTTAACTTTCTAGCAGTGAGCAAGAGATAATTTACAAACAAAATCACCGTAAGTGCGAAGAACAAAAAGAAAGGTAAGCAGATGTGAGTCCAAATGGAGGGCTCAATTCTGGAATCAGGATGGCCTCACAGAGATGATACTGCCAAACACAAAGAATGTGAGGGAATGTAACACTACAAAATGATTATAGAAGACACAGAAGTAAAAACTTCAATTTATAGTTATTCTGCTACAGGAAGAAATCTACCCTATCTAGTTGTATCTCTTCTTTGATAAATTTGCCCTTTTCTGTGAACTAACAGGTTGCCTTTTAAGCAGAAGAGACTGGTTTTATTTAAAATAAATAATCCAGAATCAGGCTTTAGTTTTTCATTTGAAACACTTTGAGTATTAATTATACCTGAGTCGGCCTTCAAAACACTAGTCATCTAGAAGGAAAATGTCATAAGCAAATGGCTCAGTCTATAAGAGGTCACTAGCTAGAGAATAATTTTTATTTTGAGGGCATTATGGGCTGAGTGTGTCATCATTCCTCACTCCCCAAATTCCTCTGTTGAAATGTTAACCCCCAGTGTGACTGGTATAAGGAGGTGGGGCCACTGGGAGATTATATCATGAAGATGAATGAAATGGGTTAGTGCCTTTATAGAGATCCTGAAGAATTCTCTTGTAATTTTTTCCATCATGTGAGCAGACAGCAAGAAGGCCATCAATGTACAAGGAAGTGGCTTCTCATTAGACCCTGATCATGCTGATACCCTTATTTCAGGTTTCCAGAACAGTGAAAAATAAACTTCTAAAATACCTAGTCTATGTTATTCTGTTATAGTAGCCTGAACTAAATTGAGTAGTAAAATAAGGGAGGGAAAGAAATGCAATTTTTATGAAAGAGGTGGCACTTTTCAATTAGGGCTTGTAGTACAAGAAGGTTGTGGACATGCAGAAATAGGTTTTGAGGCCATCAGTCCCAGAAAAGCAAAGCTAAAGGAGTAGGAAAAGGTGTGCGGAACCAGAACATAGGGTCTTTGATATCAGGCTAACGTCCCTGCACTTGTTTCTGAGGTCTGGAGAGAGGAGAGAGGAATATGAATACGTGAGTATGACAGCATGTGTGTATGTGCGTGCATGTGTGTATGCATGCATTGGTGGTACAGACAGGAAAGTGAGAAACATGGAGAAACTAGTCTTCAGTTGGACTAATGACTCTCCAGGCACTTAAGATGGATGGCAGTGGGAGAGACACAAGCAGGGAGACCAGATTTGAGGGGCAGTGGGCAGTGGCAGTGGGGGCGGGGGGTGTATTTGCTACTGAATCTAAACTTAATATGACATCTTAACTCACTGACCAACTTAAGTAAGATAGCTAAGAAAACTAAACTTGGCATTGAAACATGTATTAATGGTATTATGTAACAAAGATATGGAACTTACCCCCTAAGAATGCAGCAATGGTGTGTGGCTCAGCAGCTCCATATCGGCAACTACAAGAAAGAATAGAGACATGAACTTAGATCAGCTTTATAACAAGCAGGGTATTATCTCTTATATACCCTAAAGATACTCACAATTCATGGACATAATCATCTTTCACCATTACAGATAATCCATATTCCTGAAGGAAGCCAGTGAGACAGGATTTCAATTTTCCTATATCTTCTTCTACTTGATAGTTAGATACCCCTAAAAAAAAATATACAAATTAATCCTTAAAAAATAAGTATGACTGAAAATCCAGTTTCAGATGTCAAAATAGTAGTCAAAATAGTAAAATATGAACTGGGGAACAAAAATAACAGAAACTGTTATTTGCAAATATTGGAAGCTTAACTGATTATATTGCCACAATATTTCATGAAGTAGATAGTACTATCGCCATTTACAAATCAGAAAACTGAGGCAAAGATTTAGTTACTATTATCCTCATTTTACAGGCATCAATAGATTACTCAGCTCATAAATAGCAAACTTAGAATATGAGTCCAGGCAGTTCTTGACCATTTACCAGTCCAATTATTTCAGCTACAGATATCCAAAAATTACGTATCTTTTGTTAATTTTATAAGATAATATAACAAGAAATTTTAAGATTATAATTTTCTCAAATATATACAATACAAGAATTGACTGATTGAAATGATACCTGCCATGACATCCTTCTGGATAGTCAGTATGTAAACCAATGCACCGCCCAAATGACACTAACGGTATACTGTTAAGTAGCTAATGATTAAATGGTAATGTCTGCAAAGGTAAGCAATTATTATTACTACTGGAGGGAAAATATAATTATCACAGTATTTAAGTACTACTTAGAAAATCAGTACCTCTTAACCCCCTAGTTTAAAAAATTACTACCATAGATAATAGTACTACCTACATATTACTGAGTACTTATAAACATGCTGGCAGTGTTTTAAGTGACTTTCATATGTCACATATTTAACCATTACAATCCAAAGAGAAGATTCTATTATCTGTCATTATATAAATCAGAGAACTGAGAGAGAGAAACAGTGGTTTATTCAAGGTCACAGAGCTTGGACTGGAATGCAGTTAATCGTAAAGCTTGTGCTCTATATGGTAGCTATTGTCCCATGGTGGCTCCCCTGAAATCCCCTTCAGGCTGACATATAATTTGTTTCCACTCTTAATGTAAGCTGACCCTGTGAAACCTATGGAAGATGATGTAAGTGCTGCTATGTGGCTTCAAAGGGAAGGTTATAAAAAGCTTTGTCCCTTCCATTTGAATCTTTCAGAATTTAAGCCACCCAACATGTAAGAAGTCTAACC